TGAAATGTTCAGTATACTGAGGTGGACCCAAAAAATGCATACTGAATGACCACGAAAGTTCAGTATACTGAAACTCCCTCCTGAATAGGACGTACTGCCTACTGAACTGTAACAATTCGGAAAGGGCCGTTATCTCACCTTCAGAGGTAGTGAGAGTTTCTCCCTGTGGCTTCTCAAGTTGTTGGTGTATCTTTAAACACCAATTCAGAACTTTGTGTGTATTTGATGTCTATTGACTGTTTCCCAGTGTATAACTTGGGGTGCTGGAGAGTTTGTTGTGACTCCAGCCTTTTGGGTTATCAAAGGTCTCCCGGGCAGCCTTTGCCTTTTGTTTCGTGTTTTCTGGGTCTCCTGGACAATTTTGGTTTTGAGTCAGCTGCTTGACAGCAGTGGTTTAGTTAATAATCTTCAGTGCATTATTTCATTAAAGGGGCTATACTTTCAAAAATACTGCACTTGTAGCAATATCGCATGGCCGTTAGGCGAACTACACCATAACCTGTTGCTCGTACGTACACAAACGAGCATCATCATCGGCCGCGAAACACTGGATATTTACCAGCATAATGTTTACAGAGGAGGTAAGTTGTCATACACGTGAAAGTCTGTGAAAGAGTCTGTGTGTCTGTATTCATTCTCCATCCTACAAACGACAGTCTCTGCAGGCACTGGCTGAGAGCAGGAGTGTGTGATGAGTTTGTCCACGTTATAGATCTCTTAGGGCGGATAGAAGTGTGTGGAAGACGGCCTCTGGCTGTAGCGGGAGTGTGTGATGAGTTTGTACAGTTGATCTCTGTAAGTGGAGTGGAGAGAGGAGGAATTTGAATATGTGCATAAAATGTCACTTCCTGGAGCTTTCGCGGAAAATACGACCCGGGGAAAAATTTTATACAAGCGACACAGATAGACAGTGAACATCTACTTTTTCACATCAGTTAACCGTTCACTTATTAATGGACGATAAAAAACGATTTATACATGTATAAAGTTACATATAGCCCCTTTAGGGAAGCCTGTTGTGGCTCTATATACAGTCTCGTTGTATTTTCTCCCCTTTCCAATCTATCGCGATTTTTTGGTTATCTCTCTGGGATAACTTTGAGACACCCCTGGGTCCGCACCTGCGTCCCAAATCCCCCCTTTCCTGACACATGATTCATATTATTAAATGTGCACTGTATGAGTTTGAAGGTTTTTGTTATTGAAACTGTGTGTTGCTGCCATTCTTGGCCATGTCTCCCTTTGGACTTACCTGGTTAAATCAAAGTTCAATAAAATAAAAACAATACAATGTTTGTTGCATGTGCTTTTGTGAGTAACTTTCGGTATGTGTCCATCTTTAGGACCCCTGCTGACAAAGCTGTACATCTTAGCTTTTGCTGTTTTGTTTCTCTACATGTGATAGTAGTGTTTTTTTAATAACAAATCTCATCCTGCTTTATTATAACAATCTAATGGATCACTCGTCGAGATCCTTTGTTGAGGAAAATATCAATAAATGCTGTTTCTTCAGCATGCAGTTCATAACTTTGTCAGAAGTGGTTTCAGGCATTAAAAATAATAATTATCAATCTTGTCCCCGATCGTTTGCTTTTGTCGGTCATAAAGAGACATAAGTATTCATTTCAGTGTTCATCATATTAAAAGCTCCTCAAAGGAGTACTGTGTACTTCAAGAGTATTATGTAACATTATACTTCCTCCTCTCTATTTTCTAACTGAAAGAGGATATTCACACATAAAGTGTGATTTCATGCAGAGTGAACATAACTTCAAGCTAAAAAAGACTCATGAATAAAGCTAGCTCGAGGCAGCATTTCAAAGCTTTGGGTTGACCTGTGACCTCTTCTTTTGTGTCTGTTGTTAAGCCTTCTTATTGTCAGATCAAGAGTATGCTAGAGGACCAAAATTTAAAAAGTGTATAATAACAATCCCATAGAAAAAACCAATAGACTTTCACACAATGTCTTCCCATACGTCACTTTCTAACCACATTGTAGGACTTTTCAGGGAAACCATGAAATTCAATAATGAGGTAAAAGGGAAGCAGAGACTTAAGGGGTGCTGGTACTGCTGCTCTGTGTCGGTCGGCACCAGATGTTGGCTTTGGCTAAAGGAAGAGGTGCTGTTACTGAATCTGGCTGCTGCCCTTCAACATGAACACTGCCTCCTTTCTAATCAACACAGCCCTGCCAGTAAGCCTGCACACTACTCCTCCTTTAGGAACAATTTTCTAATCTGAGTAAGACTGGATGGAGGTTTTCTTTCTTCCTGTGCGTCAACCTCTGAGCCAAAACCTTCACTTCAAATAGGACTGTATTCAGCTAGCTGTCCCTCTATGTACAAAAGTACCTTTGTTTCAAGATGTTTCTTTTTTATTTCATCTGCTATCATTTTCTCAACATCAGTTGATCAGATCAGGAGTAACTTAAGTGTTAAATGCACTCACCTATCTCTCTTATTGTACTTAAGTTGAATTTAACGATGATGGTTAATTTTAACAAATACATTTAACAAAAAGTCTTATTCGGATCCTCATCAATTTGGCCCAATACGCTGTTGTTGTTTATTTGTAAGATAAGTAAATGAGTCAAATGTGGCACAAACTATCTATTTCAATCCAAATTAGATTTTAATTTTGTTAACTATCATTTTCTTTCATTTTCTGTTGCAGTTTTTAAGTTTGTACTTGCTGTCATAGATGTACCAGGTGGTACCTCACAGGTAACCAAAGCAGAGTTCATTCTTGAGGACCTGCAGTAACAGCAGCAGCAGCAGCAGCAGCTGGGCATGTAGACGGACACAACACTTCATTACAACTCCCTAAAGTTCACCCTGGATCTACGTCTGACAGGCACTTAATCAACATAATGATGTAGTATTGTAAATAAATATGACTAAAATCATTTGAATCTCAAAGGCGTCTTGCGTTTTATGACATTATCAGTCTGTCACAATCTTTCAACCTGAGCTTTAAATATTTTTTAATGTTTTACTCTTGCTACTTTTCAATAAAGCAGCCTTGACAGGTAGTCTCACATTAACCTTCCCAGTCAAAACAAATCACACCGGGTGCAGTTGTTGGTTAGTGAGCACAGATGTAAGCTGCTCAACGTGAGCAATGTAAATTTCCTGTGAAACAGAGTGCCATTTACAACGTGAACAAACATCCCAGTCCTTTCTCAGAACATGTCATCAAAGCTAAGGGAACGGATCGACTTCTTTTTCTCTTTGCTCAAAGATGTAAAGTCATTTGATCTCCTTACTCTTTGATTCTTTTATATTTTCTCTAACTTAACCTCTAGTGAATATATTTTACACATCTAAGTTATAAGTTATGGGATGTTCGCAGGAAAATTGACAAAATATTGGGTTCCTCATAAAACCTTGGTGGTCTGTATCAACAAAGAAAATTGGAGCTGAGTCAGCTGAGTCGTAAATTGTAACCATTGAGTTTTGCCAAACCTGTGAAGTGTGTGTGCATGTCTTTGAGAGAGAGAGGGGTTTGGAAGATGGAGAAATAAAGCTAATAGAGACCCACTGAGGCCTGACGTTAAGTTTGGAATACAGGAAGGAATGATATTCCTTTCCTTGTTTTTGCACCATGAATGGGACTCTTTCAGTCGTTGGCTCCTGCTGACCCTCTGGTTGACGAAAAAAATCTCCTCCAGTTTGACCCAAGGTCTCACCACCAGCCCCCTAAGATCTATTGCCAAGAAACATTAAGAGGCCAAAAACCCCTGATCCACAGGGGATCCGATTTTACATCACATTTTGAAACATTTTTGGTTTGCCACATTAGTATAGGCTGTGTGGTAGAATGCTTGTCCAACATTAAGAGAAGAAAGGAGTCAAGAAACCTGCAGCCACAAGAGTAACACCTGAAATAGCAGTGAGAGGGGACAAGATTGAACATTTTCGCTCAAGTTTTACAGGACACAGGATTGTTATTTCCTAAAAACTTGGCAAGTGGTCTAGGTTAGCTCTCATTTCATGCTCACTTTTGGGCACACACTCCTCACAGCTGGATGTAACGGGGCTAGTTTTGCTAAAACACCATTTTTCACAGATGATTTTCAAATTTCATGAAAAACAATAACAAACAAACATAGATCTAAGGGATCACCCACAGACAGCAGGTGATTTACTGTAAGTCCCCCTTTTATCTATTCATGCATCTATCTATTTTCTGTTTCTCTCAGCCTGCTAATTTTGACCAGAGAATTCCTGGGCCAAAATAAAACCTATCTGACACTGATTTATCATAGAGAGACAAACATGGTAACGTTCATCTACAGGCATCCACTTGTATGTATTCTAGACTAAATAGTTGAAAAATGACTAAAAGAGCTTACTTACCTATAAGTACAAAAAAAAGCTAAATCTGAGGATATGAGATGAATCAGGTTCCTTTAAGTGTACGCTTTCCAGAGCATTTAGTTGATTCGCTAGTTTATCTTACTATATCGTCTTAGACAGGGGTTCCCAAACCTTGCCATGACAAGGACCCCCATAGCAGTAACCTCAGGTGAGAACCCCCTCTTGCAACATTAATTCTTGAACACTATGGCAGATATCAACCTCGAGACTGAGAACACATTTGGTCACTTCACCTCCATTCTTACTTGATATATTAAAGGGGCTGTATGTAACTTTCACAAATACTGCGTTTGAAAACTACGAAAACATGACATGATCTGCCATGAAATCATGAAAACATGAAATCATGAAAACCAGAAATATGTCCATAATAATTCATCAAATTGAGTTAAATTCGTGACATAATTGACTGTAATCATTTTTTTCTAGACTACAATGTGGCCCTCTGGCAGTGAGAATTAAATTAATGTGGCCCTTGATGTGACCAAAGTTGCCCATCCCTGGTTTAAATCATAAATAGGCCATATTTAGCAAAGACTATTCGTACTGAATTGTTGCATTAACGCTGCTTCTCCGTTGGACTACAGCTCCCATGGTGCATTGCACGGATACACGGGACGACTTCCCGAGTTCACAGTTCAACTACTCCCATGCTTGTTTTTAGTAGAAGTGGCGCCGAGTATGTCCAGAATGTGGCCAGTTTTTTTAGTTCTACTTTGAGTGTTGTCTTTTCGTTGTGTGTTTGTCGGCTCCCTCGTGTGACGAGCATGCCCGTGAACGCATCAAAGCGCCAGCTGATTGAGCTGATCTATCGCCACCTGAAGGAGCAAGGTTTCCACTCAGCTGCAGATGAGCTCCAGAGGCACAGCCCACAGGTCAACACTGCCACACACCGTACACACACACACACACACACACACACACACACACATAAATAGCCTACATGCAGACACACAGTGCTGTAAACAGTGTCAGTGCTCGCAACAGTGTTTCAAGTGCTGCATGACAATGCTAAAGTGTTGTAATGTAAACAGTAGTTGTTTCGCTTTCTATTTCTGTGAAATCGCCATAATTATCTGATGACTACTAAAGTCTGGTGTCCTGTTTTAAGATTATCGCCATGTAGGCCTAGATAAACCGTGCGTAACATTACTGAAATGTGTTTTCAGTGTAAAGGACTGAGTGTGCTCTATCTAGGCTATCACATTCCTCTTTCAAGTTGTCATCTAAACATCAATATTTATTTATATTACAAAAATAGCTCAAATTTAAGTTATTTAAAGATGTGTACACGCAGCTCTAAGTTAAATTGCAGAAATATCGATGCAGATTAGAACAGTTTTGAATGAAAACGGGACATCGTAAAAGCTACTGTTTTTTAATACACACAAATAACCTAACTCAATAAGTTATGGTCACTTCCATTGAACAATAATGTAGGCTAGATAAGGGCAGTGATTCAGAAACGGGTTGAACAAGGGTATTCCATAGTTTGATTTATTCTCTGGCCATAAAATTGATCGATTTTAATTGGTTGTCTGACAAAAACGTCCTTGTATTTTAACAATCACTGTAACAGGAGCATCGCTAATGTGATTTTTTTCACCTGTGCTTTTTCTGTTCAAACAAGAAAAAATGTGTGTTCTTAAAATAAATCAATCTTGTTCATTTGATAAATGGAACTGATGTTGCGCTATTAAGACAAGTTTGCATAGTATTGCAATGTTATACATCTTAAAGCGTATCTCATAAACTTAACTTGAACTTCAGCATCATACGATGTTTTTGTTTGTTTTTTTCCACAGGAGGGGACAAACATATCTACCTCTTTATCGGACATCTACAAATCATGGTTAAAGTGAGATGAATTTGCATTCTTACGAAAGTTGGCTTGATTTTTTTGTTAATGATGGCGTGTGTGGTTACAGAGTGTTGTTTATGTTCCTGTCAGGGACTCAAAAAAGAAAAGGAAACCTGACTCCAGTTTTAAAGAACAAGGAGGGACTCCTGTGGTGGTAAGACAGTTTTAGAAATATCTTTATTATCACTTTCATTCCCCTCTCTCTTTAACTTAAACAATAAATCCTTCACAGAGGCATTTAGTTTGCTATAGTTATTTGTAAATGACAAAAGATCATTTTTTCTGGTTGTTTTGATATCTATAGAGATTGATTTCGAAACTGACTCCGGGGGGGGGGAATTAAAATAAACCAACACTAAAAGCCAAGACAGAAAAAATAAGTTGCAAATATTTAATACTCCTCTTAGGTCAAGACTCCCAAGAAGAAAAGCAGCAGCACATCTGTTAAGGACACTCCAACAGCTGCATCCAGGACAGATGTAGCAGCGCCGTCTCTTGGTACAATAGACGTTTTGTAGTCACAGAAATTTGTAGTCAGTAAAAGATGTTTTATACTTGAATGCATTTTTAACCTATACCACACTTTCTATGTGCAGCCGCACTAAAGAAAAATAAAAAGAAGGATAAACCTGCCACAAAAGTAGAGACACAAAAGAAGAAGGTGAGTTATTGTGTATGCTTTTTTTTCAGGAACAGGGTAGCTGCTGGTTGAAAAAGTGGAACTGGTCACTAAGGGTACTTTTTGTCCTTCTTGTGTGTTTTAATTTCATTTTCTTAGCCCGTGCCAGCAAAAAGTAAAAAAGGTGAAGGAAAATCAGCAGTCACAACAAAGGTGAAGAAATTAAAGCCCCAAAGTAAAATCAAGGCTGTGGCTGCTGGAGGCGACGAGTCTGACTCTGACAGCAGTCTGGATGTTGAGAAATGGAAGAAGCGGCTCCTGCAAATGACAGGTAGGCAAGTAGTGCAGGAAAAGAGCCGTTAAAGGGGATCATTTGTGTGCAAGCTTGTCAATGATGGAAGGAGAATTTCAGAAATGTGAAGAGAGAGAGATCACAACAACCTCAATAGGCCAGATAGTTTGGTTGTTATTTAGAAAAATACAACAGATATAGCCATGTAAATATCTTTGTTTACTTTATCATCACAAAAAGTGCATTTTGGAGATGTTTTTGAATTACAAAGAATAGACTGAAGGTTGAGTTGGTTTAAAAATGCAGGAATACAGTAGTGTGTGTGGTATGAGTTCAAGTTTAAGGGAAAAAAGACTTGAAACACCATCCATGAAAAACCTCACCCTGGAAAATAGTGATTTCATACAAACAGAGCTGTGTACTATCCCTCTGTAGTTGATGTTTAGACATTTGTATGCCATCATGCCATTTTTTTTATGTCTTCATGTTTCCTTGAACTACAGAAGCTGACGCAGCCAAGATGGACACCATCAATTCTCTGGACTCCTCTGCGCCACCACCCAAGAAAACAAGAGTGAGAAAACCCCGGGCTAAGCCTCCGCAAAAAACAAACGCCATCATCATTCAACCGAATACTGAGACAGCGGAAAACAGTGAACAGGTGGGGGAGAAAGTTGTGACACCAACAAAAAACAGTAAACCTAAGCGGAGCCGATCGAAAAAGACTGCACCTGCAGCCTCCTCCACCCCACTGAGCAAAGAGCAAAACATCGCCCCTGTAGAGGATCCAGTAACATCACCTGTCTCCCCATTAAAACAGACACCAAAGAAAGAGAAAAGAAAAGTTGTGAGTCCCAGTGAAGACAAATCTGAGGAGGCAGCGTCTGAGCCCAAGAAGAAGAAGAAGAAGAAGAAAGAAGTGACTGAAGACGAGGTGGAAGAGAATGCAAAGACAGCACTAGACAGTAAAGAGAAAAGGAAAAAGAAGAAGAAAGTCACGGAGGAAGAGTCTGGTGATAAACCTGCAGAAGAAAAGAAAAAGGCAAAAGAAACAAAGGGAGATGTTGACATGAACGAGACAGAGGAAATCATAGAGAACAGAATTGGACATGTAGAAAATGAATCAACTTCTGAACAGATAGTGCTAGAAAAGAAAGCCAAGAAGAAGAAAAAGGAGAAAACTGCTAGTGATGAAAATTCTGAGCAGACAAATGAAAATGTCATAGAAAATACACAGCAAGAAAGTAAAGAAAAGAAAACCAAGAAGAAGAAAAAGACACTTTATACTGAGGAATATTTAGAGCAGACAAATGAAAATGTCATAGAAGATACACAGCAAATAAGTGAAAAAAAGAAAACAAAGAAAAATACACTTGATGCTGATGAAAATTCTGAGCAGGCAAATGAAAATGTCAAAGAAGATACACAGCACACAAGTGAAGAAAAGAAAGCGAAGAAGAAGAAAAAGACACTTGATGCTGATGAAGATTTACAGCAGGTAGCTGAAAATGTGCAAGAACATTCAGAGCAGATAGACGAAGAAATGACAGCAGAGAAGAGGAAGGAGAATGCTTGTAGTGAGGAAAATTTAGAGCAGGTAATGAAAAAAAGAAAGCCAAGAAGAAGAAAAAAGGCAATCCTGATGAGAACACTTCAGAGCAGATGGTTGAGCAAAAGACATCGGAGATGAGTGTCATTGAGGAGACACCAGAGCAGATTACTGAAGTCAAGAAGAAAATGGAAGAGGACTCTTTATTGGAAAATAATTCAGTCGACATAGAGCTGCTAACTTTACCCAACCCTGAGACACCAAGTCCTCAAAGAGAGAAGAAGAAAAGTAAGTAGATAACTCAAGAATTCTTAAAAAAAAAATCTCATTTCGCTGTTTTTGCGTGTTTAAATTGACCCCCTTGTTTGTCACTTTCAGAGAAAAGCAAGTTAACATCAGCTGAGGACTCTGAAAAAGACTCCACAGCAACAGAGACCCTAGAAACACCTGTAGGTGACAGCACCAAAAAGAAGGTATCACAAAACTGCATCCTTCAACATTTTAAAATGTTTCAGATCAAAGTTGTTGTTGTAAATCAAAATAACATGTTTGAGTCCTACAGGATTATTTTTGCAATTGATCGTATCTTTTCTTTTATTCTCGGCAGAAAAAGAAATCCTCAAAGAGTCAAGAAGATGTTTGATTCTTTATCGCTGCAGAACAATGGGATGAACAGCGTATCCTCTCCATCCGTTTTCTAATCACATTTATTTATAATGGTTAGAAAGATTGCTTAATACTGTAAATGAAATCTTTCATTGTTATTTTAATATGTTTTTAAAATCTGTTTCTAGTTTAGTTTTTTATATACTGTGTGTTGCCCACCATGCCACTGCTTTGATTTTTGTGATAATGTCATTTTGATGACGTTTTCATATGAAAATTGATTTTGTATAAGTGATTTTGTTAATGGAATGGATCCTCTCTCTTATGATGTCTCAAAGTTAAATTCAGTCATTGTTTGAACAGATTAATTCTCATACCATCTCAGGAATTTGTCTTATTATGGTCCTTTAATCTCACTTTGTGAAACTTCACATAGATACATCACAGCATCTGTTCGACCTATTTTATATTTATGCAGAAAAATATGGGAAATTATTTTGACAACTTTTTTTGTTTGTGAAAAGCATGTTTTCTATAGAAATTTTAAATGTCTGGTAAGGTTTTCATATTTGCATTGTACATAATGCTTTTAATACAAATTAAACTCCCTAGTTTTTTTTACACTTTGCTGAAGTCTTTCTGGTCTGATGTTTTGAGCATGACAGAAACAGATGATTTCTGTCTTTATAACCCTATAAAAAGATGGACAATATGCCAGCTCCCCTAGGTGAAGCCTGTGCATTTGGAGCTTCTACTGACTAGCTGCAGTATAACATGGTTTCTGTCATTAGTTATTTGTTACGCTGATTTATTTATTTTTTTAGTAGTAATAATTTATTTTGGTCACAAGAAAAAAACCAAAACATTTTGACAGAAAAGGTGTAGGCTGAAGCTTTAGCTTATTACACCTACCCTTGTTACAAATCTTATAATTTAAGACACTACTAGTTTGGTTACAAAAAAAAGAACATATAAGAACAAAGTTTGTTCCAAGAATTTCTCTCAAAACAAAACAAATGAAACTAACAAACAGAAGTCGAACTCAAAAAATAATCAAACCGACCATTTATATATGTTAAACACCATTTTTTTTAAACAAAAATGTAAAGCTGGAAAGTGAACTACACATTCTTAATTCCATGTCATAAGTATTCCACAAGTTAACCCCTTTTACTGAAATACACCTGTTCTTTATGTTTGTCCTTACCTTTGGTTTTTTATACACACCTATTGCCCTTAGTTCATACCGGCTCTCTAGTTTCAAAAAACCTCTGAATACTGTTGGGAAGCAAATGATTGTGTGCCTTGTACATTGCCTGAGCAGTTTTTAGATCTACTAGATCGCTGAATTTTAAAGCGTGTATGTTAATAAATAGTGCGTTAGTTGGTTCGTAATAATCAGATCTATTTACAATTCTTATATCTTTTTTCTGTAGCATGGAAATGGGATTAGTGTTGGTTTTGTATGTTTCCCCAAACCTCCACACAGTAGGTAGTGTATGGAACTATGAGTGCACAATACAATACATACACAGTGAGTTTTCATTCAGGAATTCTTTAGTTTTACATAATATTGCAATGGTTTTAGACATTTTTGTTTTTACATTATTAATGTGTGGTTTCCAACATTATTTATTTATTTCAGAGTGTTCACCATAACAATACGTTTTGTTTAAATTCGTTTTTTATGCACACAAAACAAAAAACGGTGTGAAATGTGATTGACATCTCTGTTCCTGCAGCGCTGTGTGCACCGGATTAGCAAAGCAGAGAAAGAAATAGGAGGGAATGTAACAAAAACAAGAGTAGTTGACCTGACAACTGTGAATATGTGTTTTAAACCAACACAATTATCTGTTTTGCTGTAGACTGCACCAACCTGAAGGATCTTTGCTTTTCTGTCAACAAGTTTCAAGTTAGTGGATGGAAAAGGACGTTAAACTTGTGGCTCCACCAGCCAATCTCCACTGCCAGACTCCAGTGCAATTATGTCAGCAGCTGTGGCAGACGCAGTAGACTGTATAAACATGGATGTAGGGACATTACCAATTGGTTCTTGAAGAAGACTCTTGAAGCCCATTGATGGCGGTTGCCAGCTGGATCTGAGGCAGGCCTTAAAATCCCCATGAAACACAACTTCCAGAGTATCAAACTGGCATGTCGAAGGCAATGCAAAATTTTGGATGGAAACTACCTCTAACACCAATGAAGAAGTTTAACCTATGTGGTTTTGTTTGAAAAATCTGCTCGTAGACACATCCAGGAAACCTAAACTAGTGTGCCTTATTTTTAAGAAAACAGGATTAATTGAAAGAAGTTTGAAATTGTCTTTTGTCTATTTTCTTTCTTACTTTCTTCCTTACATTCTTTCTTATTTCATTCTTCCTTTATTTCTTTATTTCATTCTTTCTTTCTTATTTCATTCTTTCTTTCTTTCTTTCTTTCATTCTTTCTTTCTTTCTTTCATTCTTTCATTCTTATTTCTTTCTTTCTTTCTTTCTTTCTTTCTTTCTTTATTTATTTATTTCATTCTTTCTTTCTTTATTTCATTCTTTCTTTCTTTCTTTCTTTATTTCATTCTTTCTTTCTTTCTTTCTTTCATTCTTTCTTTCTTTCTTTCATTCTTTCTTTCTTATTTCTTTCTTTCTTTCTTCCTTACATTCTTTCTTTCTCATTTCATTCTTTATTTATTTATTTATTTCATTCTTTCTTTCTTTATTTATTTCATTCTTTCTTTCTTTATTTCATTCTTTCTTTCTTATTTCTTTCTTTCTTTCTTCCTTACATTCTTTCTTTCTCATTTCATTCTTTATTTATTTATTTATTTCATTCTTTCTTTCTTTCATTCTTTCTTTCTTTCTTTCATTCTTTCTTTCTTATTTCTTTCTTTCTTTCTTTATTTCATTCTTTCCTTCTTTCTTTCTCTTTCTTTCTTTCTTATTTCATTCTTTCTTTCTTTATTTCATTCTTTCTTTCTTTCTTTCTTTCATTCTTTCTTTCATTCTTTCTTTCTTATTTCTTTCTTTCTTTCTTCCTTACATTCTTTCTTTCTTATTTCATTCTTTCTTTCTTTCTTTCTTTATTTCTTTCATTCTTTCTTTCTTTCTTTCTTTCATTCTTTCTTTCTTATTTCTTTCTTTCTTTCTTTCTTCCTTACATTCTTTCTTTCTTATTTCATTCTTTCTTTCTTTCTTTCATTCTTTCCTTCTTTATTTCATTCCTTCTTTCTTTATTTCATTCTTTCTTTCTTTCTTTCTTTCTTTCTTTCTTTCTTTCTTTCTTTCTTGTTTATTCGGTCCGTTAGGTGGCGGTAATGTTCTTTTAAGGTAATTTTCCAACCTCCAATCAAATCAGAAGTCGAAGAAGAAGCATTAGCGCTCTTGTTTTGTTCCATGGTGAGCATCTAACCTTATTTTAATAACCCTGACGTCTCCAGATGTGGAGGCTAAACAAAGTTCGTCACAAAGCTGGTCGACAAGCTGACAGCTTGGAGGAGCTCCGGTTAAAGAGGCGACAGCAGGAGAAAGGTGACTAAAAGTCCTTGTTAACATGTTAATTTGATGTTTAGTTATAAGTTGTTTGACTGACTCCTACCCATCACTTGGAAATAAGTCTGTAACGTTATCTATGGTTAGATTATGTCCATGAACACGTCCCCGACAACCTTCGTGGTGTTCTTCTAATTGCTGAAATAAGTTGTCATGGAAATCGAAAGCTTCATAACTACGTTTAGCAACACAGTGATGCATCTGGATACAAGCTCCTGTTTGTGAAACTATACATTAAGCTGTTAATATTAACTAACTACACATACCTCACGTATACCTCACAAAAGAGCACGCATGAAACATAGAATTTCAATCTGATCAATCAATACATTTAATTTGTATCGTGCCAATACAAATTCAAAATCTCAAGATAGTTAACAGAATAAGTTCTCAAAGTTCCTTGAGCTAAGATCAGTAACCTTCAAACCGATTGGCTTCACTTGTCATTCATACTTTTGTTATTGGTCTACTCTTTTTTTTTAGCTTTAACTTAAAGTAAAACATCATGTGGTCATTCAATGTGGAAACCACAGCCTTTAAAACAAGAAGACAGCACTTCATGTATCTTTTTGACACGCTTTAGACCTGAGACAGGCCCGCAGAGACAGACAGCTTGTGAGCAAAAGACTCCTGCTGAATGAAGATGAGGACCAATCAGAGGTCACCATGGACGCTGACTCCGGAGCGCAGGTGAGACGGGCGTCATGGTAGTGATGGGTAATGTTTTTTTCCCCCGAAGCTCTTGTGAAAACTTTCAACCCGAGTCTGCTCTTTGTTTCCCCAGCATGTGGTCACTTTGTTTCACAAACTTCAACACAGTGGGCCAGAGAAGGAGGTCCACCTGAAGGCTTTGAGTAAAGCTCTCCGTGACCCCTCAGCACAGCTCACCTTTATCAAGTAAGGTGGAAACTTATTGAAGTTTTGACACTGTTACGACCCATAAGTCTGTTTGTCATGTGTCTAAACTGTTTCTTCCCACAGACAGGAGAACAGCATGCACCTTCTGGTTGGTCTCCTCACTGGCTCTAATGCGACATGCCGTCTACAGGCTGTGCGTTGTCTTCATGAGCTGTCTCACTCTCCACACACAAACATAGCCCCAGCATGTTTGCCGGCCACCCCCTACCTGCTCACCTACCTGTCCAACCAAAGCACCAAGTTCACTGTGAGTACCTGTGAGAAACTGTCTTATGTATTATCACCTATTAATGAGAGAGTGTTTTGACTTATTGTATTTGTATGTGTACACAGGAGCTGTGTCTCTACACACTGGGTAACTTGTGCCCTGAAAGTGATGTTGTACAAGAGAAACTCCTTGCTCAGGGAATCATACCAGCTCTGGCTAACTGCATAGAGGTAAACTTAAAGTCTATGTAGCGTAATTAAATTATTAAGATGTTATGCCTTTATTTAACCTCGGATTTAAGAAGGGGCATCACTTCCTGTTAAAGGAAGAAAATAACTTTTAATGGTATAAGTTAATTAATTAATCAGTCAGTTTTATATCTTGAAAGAAGTAAGTTCTGGAAATGTTAAATGAGAAAACACACAGACAAAGTCCTGAATTTTATGTGTAAAATTTAATATAAAAGGGGGTAAACAATAATGTGTAGATGAAACAGATAAAGAATATGATTACTATGATCAGGATAATGCAATTATAATGTATGGTGACATTATATATTTAGTTATGAGATAAGATGCGGTATTGTTTGAATGACTTAATCAGAAAATGGTCAAAAAGAAAAAGTTGATAAAAGTATTTTGGATTCTATTTGGATTTAAAGGAGGGCTCTGAATAGACACGACTCAAGACTCAATCTTCCAACACCCCTTGCCACCAGCAGTCTTACTGTGAGATGTGTTCAATTGAACTCCGCCGGCTGGTCCCGCGTTTCAGTCTCTGGCAAGCGGTTCTTTTCAGGCCCAGAGAGGTCCACGGGCCAGATTAGATGCCTTGACACCTGGGTCGGAGTGTGCAGCTGGGGTGGAGATTGTACGTCGGTTCAGCCGTCGTCTCAGAAGCTCCAAGAGGATCCAACAGGAAAAACATATTAAAGAGTCTTTTGATACGTCGATTTCCAATTCAGATTAACCGGATGGCCATCTTGATGAATCCAAATTAAGGAATTGGCATTCAAAATTGAAGAGCAAAGACTTTGGAGAAGAAAGTTCAAAAACCTTGCTTGAGCCAGAAAGAATTGATGTTTCCAAAAATTGTGCGTGAAAAAGAAAGTTCGGCAGAGAATCGTCTCTACGGCACAAACTTAAAAGAAGTGATTCAGACTGAAGTCCGAAGAGAAGCGAGCAAGAGCTGAAGCTCTAAACTTCAAGAAACCAAAACTAAGAAGAACCAAAGATCTGAGCTCAGTGTGAACTCTTATCTGCTGGCTGAGAGGAGGGGGGTCTGCAGGCAAAGAGGGGTGCCGCCCACGGGTGACTCCCATTCGGAGTTTACTCAATAAGATTAAGAATAAGAATCTAAACATATATACGTCACCATACATTAATTTCAATATTATTTCTATCAGATCCACGTTGATGTAGGTTCATGTCATATATTTAGACAAACATTTCTATCGGATTCATGTTGAGATGAAAATCACACCATCCGGGAACATCCTCAGTTACTCCCAGCCTGTAGGTGAACAAAAACATGTTATACAGTCAACATTCTTAATAAGACATATTAATAAAGTAGGAAAAGAAATTGGTGTCTTTAAATAACACCTTCTATAGCTAATATCAAAGAGTATGCTTTATAACACGTCTAAAGGTATAATTATGAAGGTTACGTATTCATGGATATTTTAACACTAGATGGCAATAGCGCTCCACGTCAAATTCCTATTAAACATAATATAACTCTTATTCCTATTCTGAAGATTAGATTTTGAGTTTAAAAAGATGATTATAATACATTCAATGTGACAATTACAAATATCTAGATGAAGAAAGACATAAATGTTCATTTGATGCAGAATTGAAAGCTGTGGTTTAATTCAGCTCTTCGACAGTCCTTCAACAGATGGTAAATTTTACGACTTTGCAGAGACTGGTTTCGGTCACAGTTCATGTCTTTGGGGTCAATTCGTAGATAGCAGAGTGTTCTGTTTCCGCTCGGTTGTTTATTCCAGGTGTTGTAAAAGTTCCTAATATCCTGACTGAGAGGGAGACTTAAATCATTGATCAGTTCCTTTGTTCCTTAGTAGTTGTTAATCCACAGTCCTGAGTCCTGCAGGAAGAGAGGTTGTAAAACGCTGCCGATAACGGCTACATCTACAACCATAAAACAAAAAATCTAAAAACTAGAAAAATCTGTCTCCGCACATGTTAATGTTAATGTTAATGTTAATGTTATGTTAATGATGTAAAAGCATCTCACTTGTTGTTTCTGTGTGTTTCCAGAATCAGAGACATAACCTCGCTGTGGTGGAAGCTGCAGGGTTCACCCTCTCTCAGCTTCTCCAGGCCAAAGATGGAGGAGGGAAAATAATCCCGTAATGACACACCAGTTTTTCTCTCTTTTTCGCCACATTGCTGTTTGTCTAGAGCAGGGGTCTCCAACAGGTAGCTCGGGAGCTACCAGTAGCTCACGGGCAGGTTTTAAGTAGCTCGCCTATAGGTTGACCGACTGTGTTAAAAAAAAATATATACATATATATCTGACGACAGTAAATGCACCTCTTCCCACTATTCATATATTTGGCCCATTAAAAACAAGTGTAAAGTAGTAATGTTTTCTTGGACCTTGATGTGAATTTAAGATTATTGATAAGCATTGGCTTTTTGCAATTTAGCAAACAGTAGCTTAATTCAGCTGATGTGTGCTATGTAAATAAATGCAAGAGATTTGATGCAAGTAGCTCTTGGCCGCTTTCATTTTTTTTCAAAGTAGCTCTCAGATGAAGAAAGGTTGGACACCCCTGGTCTAGAGGATATTAAAATCATTTCTGTCTTAGGTCTTGCTTAGCTTAACCAGTGTTCTCTTTTTGTCTGCAGGATGGTCCTGGCCTCTAGCTTACCTTCACACCTGTTATCAGTCCTGACTCCTGACCAAAACTTTGGCCTGGCCCCTGCCATTGAGTGTGCTTGGTGTCTGCACTACCTCACATGCAGGTGAGAGTTGAAGGCAGGTCTTCAGCAGATGTCATTAAAGTGTTGTATTTACTCAGTCGCTTTTTTTTTTTGTTAACTCTCGACAAAACAATTTCCTTTAACTCATAATAATGATCTATCTCTCCTCGGTCTTTGACTCACTCTGCAGCATGCAGGATAACAGAGTGCTTTTGGCTCATGGGGCCCTGTCACGGTGCAGTTCCACTTTAATGTCACTAGGTGGTGCTGTGGCTGAAGGGAACAAAGAAGAAGGAATGGAGCTGGTAAGGAAATAAATTGGATCAAAGACAGAGTTTCATAATGCTGTTGTCTTTTGAGCAATCTTGTTTTTATATGTTCTGCTCCAATTTCAGTGTCTTTAAACCGATATCTACGAGTACTTTCCATAACTGCTGACAAATTCAAAAAGTAAAGCGTTTGCTGCGTTTCTTAGCTTCAGAGACCTGATCATTGTTTGATCATGTATGCAAAACAATGAAAATTATATTTCAGGGACATGAAACATGCTTAGAGTGGGTAATGTTTCACAGTGAATATTTAAAGCTCTTTCTGTTGTTGGTATTTTTTTTAAAGTCAAAATTCTACATTCATTAAATAGTAAAGCAGCTGCATGGCATCCTTTGGTGGTACATTCAAGGCCTCAACACCAGAGACTTTGGAATCAGCTTTCAAAAAGCAACATATTTACCAGCCATGGGTAATGAAGTCAATAATATATTTTTAAACAAGACTTTCTTTGTGTGTATTTGTCTTTGCATTACACAGGTTTTAAAGTAGAGAAATGCTTTGTATTTAGCTTATATAGTTAGTTAAACCAGTTATTTAAAAGAGTTATTAATTTTCATTTTTAAATGGCTTTGGAACAGCCACAGTGCGAAGTGTACACTTTATTATTATTATTTTTTTAAATCAGGCTTCTGAAGCATGAATGTAACCATTATGCTTCTTGACTGACTGTGTCGTTCCTCTCCAGCTCATCTGTCCTCTGCTGAGGTGTGTGGGAAACCTCCTCTCCTCCTGCCCAGCGGAAGACCTAAGCTCTCAAGTGGCTGACGTTAGTATTGTGGTGACTCTGTGTGCACTTCTCCAGGCCTACATGCAGACTCAAACAGCCTTGGCCAGAGAGAGTGCCTGGGTCCTCAATAACCTTACAGGTTTGAACTGTCTGTTATCGATACACATGAATCTCAGACACCGCCTTCAGCACCAGACTGAGCGTCAGTTCATACCAGCAGACTAATGTTTCACATCTGTCTAATTACTGCCTTTGTATTTGAAGTACATATCCAGACTGCTACCATATTTAGGTCCATTTGAGTGTTTATGAAACTTCAGTGAAGAGAAAGATCTGTTGTTGGCACACGATTGGTTGATTGCCGAGGTGTCAAGTGAATTATGTTGTTCCAACATGTTTTCGCTCTCTTGCTACAGCTCACTCCAGTGCTTTCTGCTCTGCCTTGTTGACGTTCAACTTGGTCCCGGGACTGATCCAGCTCCTCCCGTTCTCTCAGGGCATCAACATCATGGTTTGTGAAATCCAGAGACAAACCTTGAAATGAGTGCTTCAGTAGTCTATTACACTTTCATTGTAGCTTTAAAATCAATCTCACTGCTCAATTCTTTGTTGTTAAACTCAGATCCTGAGGGTCCTAGCAAACATTGCTCACAAGAAAAAGGAGTACTGTGTCCAACTGACCCACACTGGATTGCTGTCAGGACTCTGTGCCACACTAAAAATGGCCGACAAAGACATAGTGACCCTGAGTATGGATGTCCTGTTCATGCTTGTAGTTAGCAGTCCTCAGGTAAGTTAAGGGAAGCCTTTGAAATAATAATGATGCTGCTCAGAAGAGATAAGCAAACCAGATAATGATTAGCTTTTAGCACTTCTTGAGCAGTAGTGAATTTCTTTACCTGTATTTATTCCTTCCCCTCAGGTGGCAGAGGAGTTGTGAGGCATGGCGGCCTTTCACTGTTAGAAACTCTTCAGTACAACAGAGAAGGAGATATTAGACGGAGAGCATCATATCTCCTGGAGAACCACCTGCTGCCCTACTCATCATGATGCTTGGTGAAGACTTTACTGTACTGTTCAATTAGTCTGTGGTATTTTTTTATACTTCCTCAAAATGTAAAACAAGAAAAAGAGAAAACATTGCACGTAGACTACTTCTCCTTAACCAACAGGAAGACATCCCAATCACACACACCGTGTTCCGCTTGTTACAAAACATCTTGAGGACAAACCCTGAGTATCTGCAGCTTCCTCTTGACTTGTCGCCTTCTCTACACGGACACTTTTTGTGTTTGTGTTAGTTTTTAAAACTTTTAAATATATTCTGCTGGTTTGATGAAATTAACCATCAGCGTGTGTTATCAATGACATTTTAGCATATAGGCCTATAAAGATGATATATATATATATATATATATTTCAAACCCGACACTCAGGACCTTCTGTCTTAAACTTGGAAAATGTGCTCCTCTGGAACCCTTCCTGCACATTTAGATGAGTTGATATGACTGTAATTATGTTGAAAGAGGTTCTTCAGGTGGGTTTAATAGGTATAATGCATTATAGTCATTATTGACGGTACATTCAAAAAATAAAGTATAATTGAACAAATATCAACCTCCCTGTGTTTGTAAGACTTTATTTTGAGAGAAATATTTACTCTGAATAATAATAATAATCTGAGAATAACATTACATCCAAAGGTACATGATTTATTGCCATGGTGTGTTTTCATAAGATTCATCCTGACATAAAAGATTAAATGATCAGGTTAAAGGTTTTAAGGACAAATACTTTGGCCTGGAATCCCACTTTTACTGTGTGCTATGATGGCATTTTTACTTCTTATGATTGAAGAGAATAAACTTCTGTTTAGAACTACTGTTAGTATATTTGATTCAACCGATTGAAAAGTGACCAGCAATGTTTTGAAGTGACAGAAAGCTATCTATTGATGATGACAATCATCTTGACATCACCAAACAAAGTAAGCATATAAGGACTGCAAATGTATGCATAGTCTGACTCCACCAATCCTTTTGTTAAATGGACTTGAGCTTATATAGCGCTTTTCTAGTCTTCTGACTACTCAAAGTGCTTTTACACTGCATGTCACACCCACCCATTCACACACTGATGGTAGTGATCGCTATGTAGTATCACAGTAAGTAAGTAGTAAGTTACTAATCCCATTCATCCCTCCCTCGTTAAGACACGGTGGAGGAAGTGAAACGCTTCAGTTAGATATTACAACACTAAAAGGTAAAGGCTTCCTTAAGGTAATTTTTACTTGAGTTAAAGTACAAAATATACTCAAGTATCACAAGTAAAAGTTTTCACTGTTAAGAATGGCTCATTTTACAATAATATAAATTATTTGGTTGTAATTTTCGATGCTTTAATGTGTTCATTGCTTACATGTTGCATCTGGAACATGTCGGGCTCATTTAAATCTATCTATACTCCTTTGTATATCAGGAGTAATTCACAGATTAACAGCCCTCATGTCATACTGCTCCTGTCTAAAGCATGCTGCTCACTAACCAACCACCTCCTCCTTACCTGAACTCACTCATCCAGGTGTACACTCTACACTGTGCTCTGCCAATGAAAGGTGCCTGGTACCTTCACAACAGGGCCCTAAGTCTCTAGCTGGACTCTTCTCCTCTGTAGTCCCCTGGGGGTAGAATGAGTTACCAAACTCCTTTTGAGTCCCTTAACACCTTTATAGAAAAAGTAAAGACTCAGGGGAGTTGTTGATGATGATGGTTTTTTAAATGTACTTTTTACAGACTGTGCATTGCCTCTGCAGAGTGTCAGCACCTGTGTCCAATCTGACTTCAGAATGTTTGTTGGCACTATCTGCCGTTGTTTTCTTCCTTTCTAAAACCCTGCTTGTGTTTTACTACCTATCAAAAGCATTTACTACCTATGGACAAAAGCATCTGCTTAAATTAAATTGTAACATTGTAAACCACATTTTCGGAGTCTATTTTTCAAGAGTAGCTGGCCGAGGCAGGCTGCAGCACAGTTAAGAAAGTTTCTGAAAAACAGCCATACATTCAAACTGTATTTAAGATACATAATTATAATACATAAGAACATGGGCGGTTCTAGGCAGGGGCCAACAGGGGCCAACAGGGGCCAGTGCCCCTGTAACACTGAGCTTGGTCCCCCCTGTGGCCACCCCTCCAAAAGGAAGAGCCCACCCTAATAACACATACACAGTATTCGACTCAACAACCGGACTCACAATCTATTATTAATTACTGTTACTGAAACAAATATAAATCATGGTATTTAATGATGTGTGCTATTATTTGGCATAATATATTTTTTTTAAAGCGATCATCTTTGTCTATATTTTTCACCTGGGTTTAATGTTCCCCTCTGACAAAACAACTGGCCCCAGTTTGGTCCCCTCAGTAAAAATGGTCTAGAACCACCACTGCATAAGAAAACACAAAAAACAGAAAATACTTGTCAAAATTGCCCTCATTCATACCATGCAGACACATTTACAGCCAGAGGTGTCTGTCTGCCTCAAAGTAAGTTAACATGACTTTGGTACTTTAACTGTAGAAAACCATTTTTTTATGTAGAGATGATTTATATCTCAATCTGTTTCCAGAATAGGTTTAGTCAATGTACTGATTTGTGATGATGAGGATGTTTCGTCCTTTTACTGGGACTTTTACAAGTCTTGGTCACTGTTTGAGTCTTGTACTGGGGAACAGTCTGCAGACAAACACATCAACTCCTCCCCCTAGGAAAAAAAGGCAAAACTCAAATTTCCCCACTTCCTCTGTCCACCCACAGTGACTCCTTCATTACCACTCGGCTTCTCTGCATGAAAACCAAAACAAGGTGCGTCACTTCATGTTTTTGTGAATAACTGGTATATTGTTTGAGACTTGGTTTTAAAATTACACATGTTGCAGTTATTCTCTTTATATCTGCCTAGTGGAGTGTCAAAGTGCAATCTGTGCTGTTGAGGGGTTCTGATTTGATTCTTGTTTTCCCTTCCCACAACCAACACAGACTGTACGCTGCTGACAATGGAGTCCACTGACTCAACTAGAGAGAGAGCAACAGGAAAGGATGTGAAACAGGATGCAAACAACATGGTGCTGATGTCCAGCAAGCCTCTGCATCGCTTCCTTAAACACGAGCCCAAAAGTCTTGGGGTAACGTAGCATGAAATCCAATTTCTTAAGTTGTAATTAACTGCATAGAGAAATAAGTAAGCCCCAAAAGCAACACCATACTATTGTAATGTAGTTACTTTAATCTACCCTTCCTCTTTACCTTCTCAGATCGTCATTGTGATCTTTGGCTGTGCAGAGCTGCTGATTGGATTTCATGTGAACACTGAGGATGAGGTCTACAGTTCTGGCAGGATCTACATTCCCTTATGGCAGGGGCTTCTGGTATACAACTAAAAGGCTGGTTAGCAGCTTGATATGCTGAATATGGTTAAATACTGTGCTTGATAGGCTCCTATAGCCTACTTAAAAGTCATAAAGCACCCGTCTACATGATTATGGTGTATCAGAAAACCTTAAACCTCTTAAAACTCACAGTTAAGGTTTATGGGGAATACATTCATTCAGCTCCTTGACAAAATTGATACTAATCTCATGTCTGTAGCCTGCAGTCTGCAGCTTTATAGCATGTTGCCTCAGAACATGGGAAGAGCTAGCAGGCTTAATCTCAAGGTATCAAAATCAACAGCTCTAAAGTTTACTCACAGCTACATTATACCCTGGTTGTTTAATAAGTAAAATTACTAAATGTAAGAAAAAAAATGGTGTATGGGGCATTTTACCGAATTAGTTCAAAGTGCAGCCCCATTACAAAAAAAGGTTTAACAAAACAATTAAGTATTCAGACATGGATATTTACTGAGATTATATCATGATCTATTTAAACCCAGGGCATTAAATGAGATAGTGATAAGCTAAATAAATACAAAAATATCATTTATAGGGTACTTTCTATCGTAAAGTAGCTGTCCCCAATCCTGACCCCTAAATTTCAATTTATGCAAATACCACTTAAAACATTTTTGCAATGGTGTAATTTAAAAGATCTTTATGTTTAAGTTTAAACAAAGGTTGAAAGACTTAGATTTATTGTGGGTTTAATTTTAAAATTAAAAAACTATACTCAAAAAATCATGTCCCTTGTTTTCATGTCACTACTGAAACACAAGAGTTTTAGTGGCTTGGCTGAGCCTAGATTTAAGCCACACCCCTGAGATTTTGACCAGGAAGTGACATTGCATCCCTGTCCCCCATGGCTGAATTCGGTAGTGACATTATAATTTCAGTAGTGACAAAATGGACTGGTAAAGTAGCTAAATCTCATCATTTTGAAATAAATGTGTTCCCAAGTCTTAAAAGCAGTGAGTTTCTATAAGTATCATCATTTCAATCATCTATTTACAGCAAATAAGCAACTGATAAGTAATATTTGTACTATATGGTCATGGATGAAAATTTTTCTTCAAAAATAAATTATTTTATTGACCGCTAAACATACGTGCTTGTAATATTCCCAACATCAGACATGTTAATATTGAGTTAATATTACGCAATAAGGTTGAGGGAATATGATAAAACACTACAAAGAATATACTGGTCACTACCGAAACATTGGTTGTTTTTACAAATATATATATATATATATATATATAGAGTTATCAACTAAAATGTTATGATACTGATTGGTTAACTGTATGTTCCATCTCGTAAATCATTAACTCTGAAATCATTCTGATCAGTTTTTTACATTTTAGAAAGAAAGGTTGCACATTCTGAAGAATTTTAAAAATTGAAATTAGAAATGTGTTAAAAAAAAAAAAATCATTTTTATTGATTTTATTGTGAAAACCTTCAATAAAATTTAAAAAAAAATCATCTTTACATAAGGGAAGTAAACATAATACTAACAGGTTAACATAATATTGTTTTTATCATTTATTTATCATAGTTTAATACTATGTTTCGGTAGTGACAAATTTGGGGAGAGGAAAAACATTCCAAAACAGTCTAAAAAATACAATATCAAATTTGACGATTCATTTACTAGATATGTGTCCAAATTGCTTACTACTGGTAATGGTTTTTCTTTGTTGTTTTGTAAGTTTCTTGCCAGTGGAAGTCTGTCCATCTACACTGAGGTACATCCATCCAAGAAGACGGTAGGTATATTGTGGTGCTAGTTTCCGGTTTAACTCCCTTTATTCACTGTCCATCTCTTTCTTTCTAAATTACTCACTTAAAAGATGATTTCTCTGACAGGTGACAGCGTGTTTGGCGATGTATGTGGTTTCCATTTTGGGAATTGTAGTCTCCTGTGGCTACAGGATTGCCTGCCTCGCTAATTTAAACTACCGTCGCTTCGCAGCGTTCTATTATCGAAGAGATGATTGGGATATTCACAGAGCGGTGAGTTCAAGCATTTATTTTAAACTAAATGAAAGGCACGGAAGTTGAAACAATGTATGAATAAGCTTTTCTTTGACTTTCTTTTGCTATAGATGCAGAGTTTGGGCGTTGAAAGCGTATTGTTTGCATCCTCCCTGTGTGTGTCAGTGCTTCTCATCTTCCTGTGTGTCTTCGCACGTTTAGCTCTGAAATCCACACGCTCTCAGGTAAGAAATAACTTCATATACTGTTAACCTGGATTCAACTACTGAAATCAATCAATGATAAAAAAAAAACAAGTGCATACATAGACATTTAGTTATAGTTATACTGTAGCCTATATTGTGTTCTTAACCTCTTGAAGTGAAGTGGTCTTTTTGACATCCCTTTCCATCAGTTATGTATTTTTGTGGGCTATTGCCTGAACAACAAAACATTTTAATGTAAAGTAGCCAGTATTGTTCCATAACTAACCAGAAAAAGCCTTTTAAAAGCCTAAATCACACAAAAGTCACTACAACTGACCAAAAAAAGAGTGCCTCAAAACAGAAATGTGGTTTAATATACAGAATCCTAAAATAATGTGTGAAAATATAAGAGTCTTGTGTCCTGTGTAACATCATAAGTTTGTCCTGAACCATATGTGTGTGCCAGTTAACATTACATTGATTTCTTGTTGTTGTCCATATCTTTAACAGGTTGTTATCCAGCAAATCCCGGCAGCACCACCGAGTGAAACACAGTCAAACTGAAAACAATCTTTTGTCTTTTTCTTCTGTTAAATCTAAAACAGATTTTCCTGTAAGTGTGAATGTCATAGTTTTGTACAGCAGGAAGGTGTGCACACATGGCGCATGGACTCAGAAAGGGGCGTGTGAACTTTTGTTATCCATTAATGATATTTACTTCCACTAGCCTTTAACATTAATGATAGATGCTCTGTGTAGGTTTTTTTTATTAAAAAAAAAAAAAAAAACACAACAGGAGGCATCATTTAAATCTTCCATGCTTGATTCTTTGAGGACTGAAAAGATGTCTCAATTAGTCACAATTCAAAGTATAAACAAAAATAAAATGTACTACACTGAAATGACCCAAAAGCAACTAGTAGCCTGTTGTAACACAGCCCACCGGATTGGTTTGAAAATGAGTCCCGCCTCTGATAAGGCAAAAAGCCAGTCATAGTTGAGGATTTTAGGGTGGCACCTTGGGTGGCCAATCAGATTTAACAGGGAGCCATGCCACCCCTGGATGGCCAGCTGTACAGGTCCCTTCATATAACGTTCTAACCTTACACCACCCAGACGCAGAACTTTATAGCTCAGCAAACACGCCTTTTTTTTCTTCTGTTCTAAGCTTCAATTTTCTGTTTCTTTAACATTCAACTATGCAATACTGAACTACTTTTATTTTACTTGCACTGATTAGAGTGTCATAGTAACAACTGATATCTCTAGTAAGGCTTATGTGCACATATGCAATCTAGTTGCCAGGCGACCAGATACTGCTTATTGGTACTCATATCTATCTTTGGAAATAGTCAAATATTGAATGTTAATGTATGTGTTTTTTTGTGTCGAGCTGTATGCGCACTGATGCTCTTTTCCACAAATGAAGTTCCTAACGGATAAATGAAGTTATTTGAAAATTGAAATTTAAAGCGATAAACAATGTTGTTAGTTAACACCGGTAAAGTGAACAGAGGCCCATGTCTCCATTTTGAATTAAAATGTTATTTTAATCAAACACTTTTTAACTGTCAATGTTTTGATTGGGTATCACGGTTGCCTTCTTTTACCCTTGGTCACTTTTGTTGTCAATATGCCTGATCAGTATCCATATTATCTGCATTACTATTATCAGATGTGTCAATTATCTCTCCATAACTCAATAACCATGAGCTATATGTACACCATGTGTCTTTATAGTTTAGTGTGTTCATCTACATGAATGTGACATGAAGAACTTGGTTGGAAGCCTATGTTGACATATTTTGTTTGTTTGTTAAATCTGCACATATAGTCTCCTTGCACAAGCTGTCACAGGACGTGCACTACGAGGATTTGGCTTTTAGCTTTATGTGGTACACTAAATATTATGTCTATTTTCCTTAATAAACATTGATTTGATCAAATTTTACTCTGATGACATTTTCTAACACAAATGCCCCCCGGTACACACTGTCTGCACATGATGTCAAACCACCCAGACATAGTTCACTGCAGCTATGTTGGAGCTGTGTCTTCAAGAATTTCCCAACAAGTGTTATGCAAGCATACTGGAATCCTGCTAGTTCTTGTGCTCCTCAGATAGCCTATACTGTATGCCACATCTGCTTTTAAATGCTTCCACTCCATGCAGAGGGTTGTGCAGATGGTGGAGGTAAACTCAGATGATATGTGCAGCAATACAGGTATGAGCTAGGATGTGTAATGTGTCCAACAGAGGATTGTGAAGGAAACAGCTACAATATGCCCATAACCACAGCTTCATTGCCTTTATTAATTGATGCATTACTGAACTTTTCCTTATTCGGTACAGCAAGAAATGGTCAACTCCCATCCTACAGTGTAGCTGTCGCAATTATTGTTTACCTTTTTTTAAGTAGAAATTAAGAATTAGGTTGTATTTAAGTCTAATTTTGGTACATTGTTTATATGTTTTAGTTCATTTAATTAAATACAAGTGATGTTTTATTCAGAAGTTACCTTTACAGTCACGTTGGACTGCTCTCGCGAGAATTTAGAGTCACAACAGCCCCACAAGCATGGACTCACTCCAATTAAAGTTGAACTTCAATTCTCTCTTAACAGCATGCAGCCAAAGAGGTAATTTAATTGATTTCATTTGTATTTTACTTTTGGTTAGCTGTTATTACATTAATCACACGCTATGCATGTTATTATTTATGTTTGCTTATATTGTTTAATAATTGTTGTGTTTCACGGTTTAGTTTTGACAGTGGATTTGAGGAAAGCTCTTAATAAACCTGTAGCAAGGAAAACAGAAAAGCTGCCAGAACACTAATAATACTTTGGTCACTTAATTTATTTCCAGTCATTTGACCGAGTAGACAAACAGTAGTTCAACATTGCAATACCAGTCTTCCTCTGGTGTTGGCAGTCTAGGGAAGAGGGCATTCCAGCAGCGGCATTTCTTTAAGTCACATTTGGTCCGTGTGTATTTTGTAAAGGTTCCTATGATTTAATAGACATAGCTAGCAGTGTACAGGGACTGCATGGAGGCCTGGCCAGCTGAGTCTGTGGGCTTGTACTCTCCTTTGGAGGCCAGGCCATTGATCTGTAGAGAACGGGGGGGGGGGGGGGGAGAGTAAGAGCAAAGTTAAATCTGAGTGTTAATGATCAGCCAGGTTAGATAAACCACATTAGTGCAAGACTGAAGAGACCAAAGGCTTTTAGAATGAATCATTTACAGTCAGTAATAAACTGAATAACACACGATAAGCGCCATTGTAACAACCATTTTCAGCACAGTCAGTAAGTACAAATTGATAAGCATGACTGTTTTGTCAGTCTTAATAGCTGTTCACGCTCTCTAGGGTTACCTTGGCCCTGTTGCAGAAAGTTTCCTGCGCAGCTGCTTTGTTGGCAGCTTTGCCCTGCCAGGCTGCGAGAGTGGAGGCCTGAAGTGCACGGCCGTAAGAGAAGGTCAGCTTCCAAGGGCGATGGAGGGGCACCTGGTTGATGGCATTCAAGTTGAGGGAGGCCTCCTCCTCGCTCTGACCTCCAGACAGAAAGCAGATTCCTGGAGACACAGAATCAAGCATGCTGTCATTCACTCCGCAATGACTTAAGATCTACTCCCTTTACTTAAACTGGTTTGTTCAAAAAGAGATGAGGCCTTTAGTCTCTTACCGGGAACAGCAGCTGGGACAGTGCGTCTCAGGGCGGTCACTGTTGCCATGGCAACCTCCTGAGGGGTGTACTTCTTAGTGCAGGAGTGTCCAGCGGTGACCATGTTAGGCTTGAGCAGAGTGCCCTCCAGGTACACATGGTGATCAGAGAGAGCCTTGTACACAGCAGCCAGAACCTGGACATTAGGGGGCCGATTTATTAGAACAAACATTTTAGAATATAATCTGACGTGTACGAATCACAGAGGATACACCAACCTTTTCTGTGGCGTACTGGCAGCGCAGCAGGTCATGGGCGCCGTCAGGGAGGATCTCTGGCTCCACAATGGGCACCAGGCCATTCTGTTGGGGGGAACATAAATCTAAGTGTAAGATGAATTACTCCCAGGCAGTAGTTTGGACCACACTGCAGTCAAGTGATTTCTTTAGAGTGGGGCAGCGCACACACCTGTTGGCAGATACTGGCATATCTGGCGAGGACATTGGCATTTTCTGCAATGCTGAGAGCAGAGGGGCAGCCGTCTGAGATCTTCAGCACGCACCTCCACTTGGCAAAGTCACAACCATCCTTCTTGTACTGAGCACAGCGCTCTGAGAGGCCATCAAGACCTGTTAAAAAAAGAATGTTAGCACCCACAGTTGTTTTGAATCATGGTACTGAAAATAAAGAGTGTAGATTCGGATTGAAAAAGGCTCGTACTTGAATTGACTCTAAAGATTATTTACCTTGTGTGGTCGTCTCTCCATCTGTTCCGTTAAGACCCGCTGTGCCTTTGTCCACCTGATGCAAGGAAAGCAAACAAAGTCATTAACTAAACAAGGGTAAACAACTGAGCTTAAGATGCACACAGCTTGCACACTCCTCACCTTGATGCCGACGACAATACCCTTATCCTTGATGACCTGGGGGAAGAGCTTGCCACTGTCTGATTTCTGGTATAGTGTCTCGTGGAAGAAGATGACTCCGCCCACACTGTTCGCGATGGACGGATCAGAGGAGAACAGGAGGTCACGGAAGAAGCGACGGTTCTCCTCTGTGTTCTCCACTTTGATGTTCTGGAGACGCTTCGCCATGGTTCCTTGATGAAAGAAGAGGGTGTGCAAAAAAAAAAAATACAAGTGTCAAACTCCGCGACCCTTGCCACAGAATAACATTTGAGATCGTCCGGCTCACCTGTTGATTCATCTGCAGCCAGGATTCCCTTTCCTGGAGCCACAATCCTCTGAGCGATGTCAGAGAGCTCCTTCTTTTGCTCAGGAGACAGCGATGGGAACTGGTGAGTCATCCTAAGAGAAAACAAAACATTTAGCAGGTGATTAGAAACATGTCAAGACTGTAACAGGTATGAGGAAGATGCTTTACCCTTTTTTTTTTTTTTTTCCAAACACAATGAACCTTTGCACTCTGACTTCCTGCTTCTCTTGCAACACCTTTGCTAATATTTGGCTTGCATGACAGAAAGTACTTTGGCCCTCAAACAGATAAGTTCTGCCCTAGTTCAGATGTTCATCAGTAGTTTTTTTTTTTTTTTTTGCTGCATGATGATTTCCCAATAGTTTCTGCAGAAAACCCAAAACACTGAGATTCATATGAAGGCTCACAAGTCACGAGCATTAATTGTACACAAATCATGCGTGAGAGCATAAACGGCAAGTTAATATAAACGCGGATGTGTTCCCTTTCAAATATTTGCACAAACTAAAAGACGCCCACAGACATTTAAACTATTGCAGGACACACGTCGATTTAAAAAAAAAAAAAAAAAAAACATTTAGAAATCAAATAAAGACCACTTTATGGCAGAAACATCTAACTTTATCAGTGTAACTCACTACAAAGTTAAGACTTTAAAATAACTCCAGCTGAAATAACCTACAAAGATGCATCTGTAGGCTCGGCTGCTGCACACTTCGGACACATGATGAAATCCGAAGACAAGTGTTGCACAAAACAAGGCAACACGGTTGAGTTCACTTTGCATTTAAGAAATTGACTTGAGCATCCACAATAGTTATTTAAAAAAAAAAAAATACCTCAACGACTTACTTTGGAATTGTATCAAACAGCGATGTGCAACAGAAATTGTAGACGGCCGCGCAGCCTCCAAGCAGTGTGTAGACTGTTTGAGAAGGCCGACAAGTTGGCACAATCCTGTATTTATCACGGAGGAGGTTCCCGTGATGTGGCGGGGCGTGTGTCAGTCCCGGTTACACAATTGGTCCGGACATAGACAGGGGCGGTGTTAGTACCGGGCTTCAATGCTCCACTGTGGACTTTAGGCCCAGGACCGGGGGCGGATGAGTTACAAACAAATAGGGAACATGGTGTTGTTATCTGAGAAGTTATAAAAAAATCAGAATACACATGCACACGCCCCTTTTCTGCTCACTGTGAAGTGAGAAAACAACTAGATGTAAAGTGAGAGGCCTGCTGCAGTTGCAATTCAGGTTTCTTTGTTTCCTATGTCCTCATGAAGGTGTCAATTGCAATTTACACCAGATAGGGCCTTTATGTCTGTTTTTTTTCTCATATGTGTGTAAGAACATAAAGTTTAGCCAATGCCATGTTCTGATTGATAATATCTGCAATGTCACTATTTAGCTCTGAAAAAAAAAGCAGCATCAGCACAATCATGCCTCATGTGTTCAGTTTGTCCATGATGATAAGCAGCTTTTATCATGTGTGGCTGTATGTTTGGTATTGGTACTTTTTGTTTTTGTATTGTTGCTGCCTCAGTGTGAGGGTTACAGTTTTCTTTGCGATACATTTGTTATATCGTTTTTAATCAATTAGTCGCCTGCTGTAGGTAATCTTATTCCATATGTGTAATGTGCCCACGAATTAAACAGCCATCTGATCTTCATCTTTCTGCACATCTACTCAACAGGCACTAGATAACAGTAGAGTGCTCTCACTTTTCCCTGAGTTACCTCAGCAGGTTGGGGTATTTGAACCTAAAGGCTGCCGATCTGCAACATACAAATAATCACAAGGCAGCTTTTACGCAAGCTGAACTCTGCACCATGAGCAATGTTCACTGTGGTAGTGCAGGTTAGAGATCAGTCTCTTTCTGTGACTTTCTTCGTACACAAGAACTGACTGTGAAAAGATACAGAAGTGCAATTTCTTGCCCAGACTTGTTTGTTAGAAGAAAAAAAAAAGAGGAAGATCAGCAGCACACTGTTCAACTCCCAATGGGCGATGTTTCGATCCAGAGTATTTTATTCAGGCCCTTAATAAAGTTGTTCATTGGGAGCTAATTATTGGGCGGACCTTGTTTTTCCTCTTATTTTTATTTTTTATTTTTATTTTTTATAAGGTGATGCAGAACAATACAAGACAAGTGAGGGACATGACAAGAGCAAAAGTATGTAGGAGACAGGGGAGACACGACGATACAATGCACAGCATAGACAAAGACAAAACAGGCAAGCAGGGAGTAATAATAACGTTTTGCAATTTTGTATGTTGAGGGTGTTGAAGGGCCCTGCTTGTGTGTGTGTGTGTGTAATTCAAGTGTATGCTTGTATTTTTTTTTTTTACCTTTCCTTCTTCCCTTCCTCTATACCCCATTCCTATTTTTGTCCTTCTTCTTTCCTTCATTCCATTTTTCTTTTCTTTCTTTTTTTTCTATTTATTTATTTTCCTTCTCCTCATTTTTCTTCTTTCCTCCCCCTCTTTCTTTCTATATTATAATTTCCTCTTATTTCTGCAGTTTATACAGCTTTTGTCCTCCATCTGTATGCATTTTGCTTGAACACACGTTTTGGTTTTTTTCAGACTTGTTTGTTAACCAGCAAAAATAAGGGAACTATATCAAAGAAAGAACATCGGAGGGATGTTGGTTTCTAGTTTGACGCAAGAGAATTGTCACAATTTCCGAAAGCAATGCCATCATCATGCCATGGACCTGTTCAAAATACATCCAACATTGCAAGTAAACAAATATCTAACTATGAAACAATTTTGGTAGAAGGGGAAGACAATTCAATAAATCAAATACATTCATGTGCATTATTACAAATAGCAGTCCTAATTAAGCTACGGTCTTCCACTTTATTGGGTTAGAACCATAGACTGTAAGGTTAGAACATAATGTCTAGAAAATGTATGTTTAATTATTTAGCCTACATGAATTAGGCTGCACCAAACACTATTTATGGGGCTGCAACAAAACATGCAGAGAAACCTTCCAGGGGCAAAAAAAAACAAAACACTATAGTTATTTTGTCAGTTGCTTATTAATATATATTTTTTCTGAATTTGCATCATAAAGTACAGACTCATCTTTGTTCTTCAGTGTAATGTAATGCTGTGGCTCATCTTGTGAAGGGGCCCTGTTTCAAATTCTAACTCTAAGACCAGTGTTTTGTTTTTTTGTATTGTGCTCAAATGATGCGTCTGTGATTAGATTCCTGCATTTTGAGCCACAGATGCCAAGCAGTAAATCTTAGTTTCCCCCAGATGTCTGAGTTGCACTCGGTTGCACTCGGTTACACTCGGTTGCACTCGCACACGTCGGGTGTTGTTTCTTCTCCGCGGCGCTAGGTGTCGCCATGACAACCAAAGACGGTCCCTCCCACTGACCGGTAACATTTCCGTTTCCGCGAGGCAAGGAGTTGCAACAACAACAGCCACAGACAGATTTAGTTCAATATAAAACCCTTAATATAAGAAGCGGTAAGAATCAGCAAAGTATTTATAAATGAGAAAACACGTAAAAGTAAACGCACACATCTGCTGGGTCAGATTTACCCCTCCGGTGTGTTAACGACCGGCGAAGCTAGCGGGTAGCTAAAGGCTAACATCCGGCTGGTTGAATCAACTTGTTCAGACTTTAAAATCGTTTTTAAAATCGTTTCATGTGTGTACGTTTTTTTACTGCTCATTATTAAGGTAAATCTAGTCGCGTTTATACCACATCGAACATGTGTGTCGTCCCTTAAACTGAATCTTCACAACCACTTCAAAGTCTCCCATCAGTTCATTCATTCGGCGATGTTTCTCTCTGTGTTGTTTCAGGTGTCTGAAGATGTCGGGACAGAAGCGTCCTGCAGACCCCGGCAGTGCCTCCTCGTCGTCGTCGTCGTCCGGTGCTCCGCCTGAGAAGCGGAGGGAGAGGGAGGGAGAGGATGGAGGTCCCGGGGTCAGCGCGGCTGCTGGGGGGAGCACCGCGGTGACAGAGACGGTCATCAAACTCGGAGGAGTGTCCAACTCAGTGAGCCCTGTCTTTATGATCCCCCCCCCCCCTCCCCCCTTTAGTGTTTATGAAATATCCACACGTTTTGTTTGCTCTCTGTCTGTGCATTTATTGTTTGAAACAATTACAGGAGGAGCAAGACATCAAAGCCCTCCAGGCGAAGAATCGAAAGTTGGGAGAATCCCTTGATCTAAGACAGGTAAATGTTTTTCCTTGCCTGTAAAAAAAAAAAAAAGAAAAGGTGTACATGCATGCTGTTGTTCTGAGAAAGTTATCTTGGCTTGCAGGTGATTGAGGACGAATTGCGAGAGCGAATTGAGAGACTGGAGACGCGTCAGGCTACCGATGATGCCAGTCTGCTGATCCTCAATAGATACTGGAACCAGGTAAACGAGTTCAGACAAGGAAGCAACACATGACGATGACTTCTTCCTCATTTCACAATATTTCTCTCCTACGGAAGTTAAAACTGTCAAAATGTGTTTGTTTTTTTTTCCCCCATCAGTTTGATGAAAACGTCAAACTAACAATCAGGCGGTATGACCAATCAACCAGTGAGCCTGAGAAACCTCTGGCAAGCGAGGGGCGGAGCTTGAAGCCAGATACCCCAGAACCCGATGGCGACTCCAACCAGGAGAGGGCAAAGGACAGAGGTAAAGATGGAACTGAGGCATGGTCATGAAATTGAAAGTACTAATGTGTTAACGTGTTACAAAACATGTCAAAACATGTCAAAAACAACCCCCCCCCCCCCCTTTTGTGTTATTGGTTTTCATTCAGGCCACCCGGGAGAGACAACCAACTCCTTCTTAGCCACACTGGCAAGTAGCAGCAGCGAGGAGATGGAGGCTGAGCTTCAAGAGAGGGTGGAGTCCAGCCAGAAGCAGGCCAATCATGTGGTGGAGATCTATGAATGTCTGAGGAGCACAGTGGATAAACTGAAGACAGAGCTGGACTCTGGAGCGGATGAGATGAAACAGAGAGCAGGTTTGAGTTGAGGAGGACATGCCATTGCAATAAAACGCTTTTTTGATGTAATGCATTCCTAGTATTTCATGAAAATTCCTGGATAGGCTTTGCCAGAAATGTTCCTTATTTGCCTGTCTACATAAGCACCTCCCTGCAGTAGACGTTCTCTGTTAGAGGGGAGGGGGGTCTGAGGAGGCAGGGTTCTTTTTAAAAAATGATGGCTGAAGCAACAGAGCCTGGAGCTGTGGTGATAATTTTTGCCCGAAATATCAATTGAACATTCTCAAAGTGTCAATGAAGAGTGCTAAAGAACATGCTTGCAAGCATCTTCACTTAGACGCGCAAGACAACCTCACCGGTCGCACTCAGGTCCCATGATATAAACGTCTCTACCTCTTCCCCCTTGCATTGCAGTGAATCTTCCTAAATATTAACGGTGCTGTGTTCACACATGGGCTCACCTGACTTCACAGAGGTTGTAGTAGTTGTGGGTCTGGTAGGGAGAAGTCTGGTTAAACCGTGGGTGAAAAACAATCGGACATACTACAGTCTTACCTTCCCGACAGACACAGGTTCCGCAAATAGTTTTGCCTAATGACAGAATGAAATTTAGTGTCTACACCCTTATAATGGGGGCAGCAGTAGCTCAGTCTGTAGGGACCTGGGTTGGGAATCAGAGGGTCACTGGTTCAAGTCCCACAGACCAAATCCAGAAACCAGCCTGGCAGCTGGAGAGGCGCCAGTCCACCCACCAAAGCACCCCAGAGCAAGGCACCCAACCAGCAACCACCATGGACAGCCCCCCCCACCCCAAGACCCCCCCCATCAATGCACATCCATAGGATTTTGTTTGTGCATGTGTTTGTGTAGCATGTTTACTAGACAGAGTGTAAAAACAAATTTACCCTCACGGGATCAATAACGTATAAATTATTATTATTATTAATGCAATTGTTTCTTGTCTTTCAGAGGGCAGCCTGTGGCAGGTAGCTTCCAATCTGAACTCCCTCTTGACCCGGGAGAACAAGCGGCTGCAGCAGCTGACAGAGGACCTCAAGCAAAAGTACAGTCAAATGACAAGCGAGGTACAAATCTAATCTCCTTTCATTATTAACTGTTAACTGCAGAATGCCCTCTATCTGCCCTCAGCTCAAGCCAACATGAACAGTTATCAGATAACAATTTGGGCTAAGAGATATTTCTATTAGTTATTAAGTATGTTTAAATTCCCGCCTTGTCCAGACCCGGCCTTTGGGTCGTGCAGCTAACAAAGCAGACCAGCGCATCGGAGAGCTGCAGGTTTTGATCGATGAGCTCCAGTGGGACATGGAGAAGATCCGCCGCAGAGAGAACAGACTGAATGCACACCTGAGCGAGATCCTGGAAAGGGTGAGTTAATGTCAATCATCCTCTGAATGTCTCTCTTTGTGTGTCAATAATAGGGTTTGTACATGTCTTGCTGTTCATGTTAAAGTAACACCGTCTTTAATGCTCCAGGTGAATAGTAAAGGCTACAAAGTGTGTGGAGAGGCAAGCAGCGTCTGTGGAACCATCACTATAAACAAGAGAAAGGTAGGATTTCTATTGAAACGTTTTGATCGATTAAGGGAAAATGTTTAGTGGGGAAACTCTGACAAATTCTTAATTTTGTAGCTTTTCTACCACTTTTCCTGAACTCAGTTTTACCTTCTCTTAAGTTTGAGGAAATGAACAGTGAGATGGACGAGAGCAGGGAGCTGGCAGATAACCGCCTCATCGAGCTGCAGAAGCTCCAGCAGGACCTGCAGAATGTGCAACAGGAGAACAACAGCATGAAGGTGGGCTTGTGATTTGCACTCACTGTATTTTTACCCTTTATTTGAAAACGATCCATTACAGTATTAGGGTGTTCAATTAAGTATGTTAGCAAGAACTGCTTATTCAGCTGCTAAAGCACTTTTGCTCTTTGCATTTAATTTACTGCAATGATTAAACTCATTCAACACAGGGAAACTGTGGGGTGGGGGGGGGGACATGTACTACTATAGCTACTGCTATGTATCACCACATGATAATCATTTTTGTTTCAATTGTGTCCTTGTAAACGCACATCTGAACACTTTTACCTCACAGGTTCCTCGAAGTTGTAGCAAAACTCACAGTGCCACCCGGTGGTTAATACTGTAATTTTTTTTTAAAATTCTAAAAATCTCTGCTTCTCTTTCTTTCCTTACTCTTTCTTCAGGCGGAGCTGATGAGTCGAGCAGAGAGCATGGTAAAAGAGACTTCAGAGTACCGCTGCCTGCAGTCGCAGTTTTCTGTTCTCTATAACGAGTCTCTGATCCTTAAGGCTCAGTTAGATGAGACGCGTGCTCGTCTCAACACTACCAGAACTGCAAGGCTTCGGCAGCTGGAGCACATGGAGGTAAGTCTTTGTATTTGTATGCACGTTTGTTTGTGTGTGTGTGTGTGTGTGTGCGCAAGACGGTGCATTTGCATTCACGTTTTCATGAGCATTTTTAATTTGTATTTAACAAAAGATTGGGGGTTGGCTTAGATAGAAAAGTGGCCGGGTTGAAAAAGCAGAACAGTCAACGTGCAAATGAAAAGATTTGGCATATAAATCAAGGCATCAGAAAACAGCAGATGTGTGTGGAGCAATGTGGAGACTGTAACCTTTCACAAGACACAGTAACATACAACAAACCTGAAATGTTACCATCACTTTGTCTTACTCTTTTAGAGGAAGTTTAAGGGGCTTTCAGCCATGTCATCATATCGCACAATTTCTTCTACCATTGATGAAAAAGCACCTGACTGGAGCATGAGCACCACCTACTGCTTATGTTGATGAACTAACACTAGTGGATTGAATTGCGCATGTTTTCAACTTTTGAAAAAGAATGCTCTTTTATGTGGATGTAAACCTGGCTTGTGTCTTATCTGTGACCTCTTCCTACTCTCATCCCCTCCATGTGCAGAATGATGAGGTGGCTCTGCAGAGGAAGGTTCGTACAGAGGTGTTTCAGCTGGAGGACACTCTGGCTCAGGTCAGGAAGGAGTACGAGATGCTGCGCATTGAGTTTGAACAGACTCTTGCTGCCAATGAGCAAGCAGGTAACTACAGCGAGCGTCAGCTGGTTCAAAATGAGGAACGGGGTGAATTGTGCCGAGAAGCTGTAAGCTAAGATTCACTTCCGCTCCTTGATGACAGAACTATTTGATCTTTTGCCTTTTTCCCCCCCCCCATCTTTCATGTTTAATTTATTTGTCTCTGTTTCACTCCAACCATTTCTCTCTCTCAGGTCCCATCAACAGAGAGATGCGCCACTTGATCAGCACGCTGCAAACACACAACCAGCAGATGAAAGGAGAGGTGGTGAAATACAAGATTAGGCTGAGAGAAACTCAAGCTGAGCTCAATCAAGTAAGTCAAACGGCGGTAGATAGAAAGTTGTTCATACGCTTTCACAGGCATTAGAAAGAGATTAGCATGGTGGTGGTTTGCAAGACAAGCCGAACACAGCAAAAGGTTTCACTGTCGCCTTTTTAGGTCCGCGCTTCAAAGGGAAACGCCATCCTCCAGTCTCAGTCGAGCACAGAGCTGGACGTGAAGGATGAGACGACCTCGCCTTCAATCACAGCCATTTCTGGGGAACCTGCGATCAAGACAGAGCCTGACAACGGCTCCTCAACACCCAGCAGCACAGGTAGCTAATACCTAGCGCGCTCTCTATGAAACGTTTGCTTATACTGTGAGATTTTAAAGAAAAATAAATCTTTTTCTTCAGGGTTTTTAGCGTTTTTAAACATCTGAAGACATATAACGACTGTCCTGTTTGGCAACTTCTCTTTCACTGTGTTGAATTTTTAATCTGCAGGGGCCTCAGTGAAAACAGAGCCCGGGGTAGAACCAGAAGCAACAGTAAAAGAGGACGAGAAAGAGGAGAAGAAAGAGAAGGAGGAAAAGAAAGAAAAGGATGTTCTGAAGAAGGAGGAGAAAGAGCGGGAGAAGGAAAAGGAGAGGCCGACACGCGGCGGTGGCGGTGTGATAAAGGAGGAGAAAGAGAAGCCGGGGAGTAGCAGCCAACCCGAGGAGTCGGCCGGGGAGCGCCTGTCAGTGGTTGGAGGATCAAAGAGGAAGGAGATAGAGCAGCTGAAGATTGTCAGAGCAGAACTCAAGTGAGTGGCATGTGTGGAGGTCTAAATATACAGCCGTCCATTTGTCAGCAAGCATTCAGTCATGCTAGGTCAAAGATGGTCAAAAACACCTTGATTAACACTTAAAACTGAATCAACTAAAGCATATACATTATAAAGGGGGAAATAGCCCCCCCTACAACATGAGTTATGCCAATCCCAAATTTTAATTTGACCTTGGGATAGATTGATTTTAAGAAAATATTGGCTATAACCACTGGCTGATCCTACGTCGAAATGTTTTGAAAGATTTTCTTTTTCTACACGCATCACAGTGGCCAACACAAGTGCCCCTTGTTTATTTCCTAGTATGAGTTGTTTTGTTTTTCTTAGTGCTATGGTTACTCTCTGTCAGCTCCAGGTTCTATCATCACAAAACAAAATGCCTACCACAACACTTAAGAAAGATATCTTCTGTTCTCTGATGAATCAGCAGCAATGACTCACACGGATTAGTAGACCCAGCCAGTGTAAACAAAACATCTCTGATAAATGGGTGCAAAAGTCCTGATTGTCTCCAAAACAATGTGCAGAGTTTTTACTGTTGGTGGTGTTGTTTGATTTCTTTTTTTTCCTTTTTTTTTTATGGTGACTGCCCAGGAAAGCCCAGGAGTCTCAGAGGGAGATGAAGCTGCTGCTGGACATGTACCGCTCAGCACCGAAGGAGCAGAGGGACAAAGTGCAGCTCATGGCTGCAGAGAAGAAGTCCAAGTCAGAGGTGGTCATTCACACTGCATTCCAAAAAAAACCCTGATATCCTGCTCACAGAGGTTTACTCACATCAGTGATTAAAGCAGGTGTTCACAAGCAGGAGAATGTATGATGATTGTGTGCTGATTTCAGGGAGAGGAGCTACGGCAGAGGCTGAGGGAGCTGGAGGAGAGAGAAAGGAGAGAGGGCAAGAAAATGGCAGATGAAGAGGCACTGAGGAAGATCCGCTCTGTGGAGGAGCAGATTGACATTCTCAATAAGAAGCTTTCAATAGCAAAACAGGTACAGTTGCTTGTCACCTTTTGATTTAGCGCACTTACAGCACCCTCCTTTGCTCTTTGACACACTGTCGCCCTCCTCTCCCCCTCCCTGCAGGAGGAGGACGCGCTCCTGAGCGAGATGGACGTGACGGGCCAGGCCTTCGAGGACATGCAGGAACAGAACATTCGACTGATGCAGCAGCTCCGAGAAAAAGACGATGCAAATTTCAAGTTGATGAGCGAGCGGATCAAGTCCAACCAGATCCACAAGCTCCTGAAAGAGGAGAAGGAGGAGCTGGCAGACCAGCTGCTCACTCTAAAAACTCAGGTGAGCCTCCATAAGGTGCAATGGGAAATAATGAGAGTTTGTGTGGACTGTTTTTTTTTTTCTCGCACAAACTGCCTACAGTCTTTTCTCACATTTTTTTCCTTTAAGTTGAACAGCTTCTAATGAAATAAAGTTGTATGAGCTGTATGAGCATTTTTTTCAGTTTTGTTGAACTTTATCTCGTAGCTCTTCTGCATTAAAAAAAAAAAAATCTCTGTTCATGATCAGACTTCTTGTTGATTTCAGGTCGACGCCCAGCTTCAGGTGGTGCGGAAGCTGGAGGAAAAAGATCGCCTCCTGCAGGGCACCATCAGCACTGCAGAGAGAGAGTTGGGCACTGCGAACACAAGCCTTAGACATGAACAAACGCAAGGTAAACACGTCGTTCTGTAGCGATGAGCCACAGCGACAGATTAACCTGTACAGACCACACTTGCCCTGTATATGATGCTGAGCATGAGAAGAAATGTCTTCTCATCTGTCTCTGTTGCTTCTCCAGGCACAGGACTCTGCGTCGCTGTCAGAGGAGGTGCGAACTCAGCTGGAGCAGGTTCAACAGAGGCTCAAGCTGGTCAGAGAGGAGGTGGTAGAGAACAGCATCTCCAGAGAGAAAGAGTCATTTAACGCCCGAAGAGCACAGGTAACAACAACAACAACACACATAAAGGCACAACGTTTAAAAATATGCCTAACTTTATGTCAGACAGAGAGCTGTTGCCGGTTTGCATTACTTGCAGTTTCAGTTGAGGCTAACTATATAAATGAGCCTGCTTTGGGGTATCCATAATGTCTGTTGACAGATGAAAGTAAACTGGTAGAGACGTGCTTGTTTTACTCACAGCTGTTTACTTTGTTTCAGGAGGACATCTCCAAACTCAGGAGAAAGATCGAAAAGGCCAAGAAACCGGCTGAGAAAATCAGCAACGGAGACGACATCCTAAATGAAGAAATCAACGATTATAAGGTGAAACTACAAATAGTGATAACCTGCTCGTTTATTTCATCCTTCTTTAGCGAAAGCACAATGATCGGCATTACTGGAGCTGAACCTGCTGAAGAGAAGAACTCATTTCAGAGTCAGCTGTTATCGTATGATCTAGACTCAGATGAATTATTAAATAGGTCCCCCCCTGCCCCCTACCTTGTTGCATGGAAGTTGCATAGGACAACACAATTTAGGTTTTTATAAATGGTGCTTATTTAACTTTCTAGATGAACATTAAAGCTTGAGCTCGCAGTTTCTGCACTGAATACAACAAAGACCAGAAGTGAGGGTTTGACTTGCTGGGCTATTTATTTTCTCTGAGCAGTGTCAGTGCAACAAGTGGACAGCGCAGGAAGTTATTAGTCCCTAAAACAAATCAGTCCTACCCACAAGAAAATAAATACTTTGATTTCATAGTAATGATTTCTCTAAGCTTTGGGCCAAGGCTATCTTTTTCCTCCCGTCTCCAGATTTTGGATCTAACCAGTTGCTCTTTGTGAGGGAAAGATAAAGGTGTTGTCAAGCTTTCCCCTCACTAAATAAGTAGCTCCAGCCTGAAATGCTGTAATTAGGAATATTTAGTCTTTGCGGGACAGTGTGATCACACTTTTATGAAACAGAAACACACACTAGAATACTTCCAAACAGCTGCGTGAGGACTACACATTTCAGTGTAGTTGTAGTCCATGAAGTCAGTGTCCATATTAAAAATCTAACAACCTGCTCACTCTCAGGATGTTTGTTTTTCTCTTCTCTGTACTCTCCATGGTCTCGAGAGTCTGTCATGGCCACATCAGGGTCACATCCAGCCTTCATGTCACGTGTCGAATCCACTCTTTACAAATCATTCAGCTCAGGACAAACAAAAAAGGGCTTCTCAGTTTGTTGTTCAACCACTCTCCCTCTCTCTCTCCAACCTTCTTTCTCCCCCCCCCCAGGCACGTCTCACATGCCCATGCTGCAACTCTCGGGTAAAGGACGCTGTTCTGACAAAGTGCTTCCACGTCTTCTGCTTCGAGTGCGTCAAGACTCGCTACGACACACGCCAGAGAAAGTGCCCAAAGTGCAACGCCGCCTTCGGAGCGAACGACTTTCACCGCATTTACATCGGCTGAAGCTGCAGCAGTATGAAACGCTCAGGGGGAGGGAGACTCACCACTCTGAACATGGGACGCCTCGTCTCCTGCGTGTACAGGACACTTATCGGTGTGATATTCCGTGAGCTGCAGTGATGCTCTGAATTTAACTCTTTTGAAATAAATTCATTACCAGTGACTGAATCCATTTTCTTCATCCAGTATCCAACACTTCACTGTTTTCAAAACCGGTACAGGAACTATGAGTACGAGAGGCGCTAGATTCTACAAATTCATCACATTCCAAGTGTGTGGTTTCTTTGTGCAAGTGTGTGAGGAAACAGGCAAAGCAGCATGCTAATAAAAGATGAGAACAATACGAAAGCTTGTAGTGGATGTTTGTATTAAGTCAGTGTGTTGTACATACTGTTTGTCATTAGTGTTCCATTTTTTTTTATTTGAAAGCTGCCTTTTATCCAAACTTTCCTGAAATCTAAAATCAGACTGCTTTGTAATTTTTGCTCTTCTCGTTATTAAACTGACATCTTAAGAGAAATGTGTCGCTACTTTTTTTTTTTTTTTTAACTCTTAACACAATGTATCAAACCCTCTCAATAACATTTAATGTGGAGAACACAAATGACACTTCATGTCCCAGTGTGCCGAATCTGTGTTTATCCGTGTGCAGAGCTCCCCTCCTCTTCCTCCCCCCTCCCTGAAGATGTAGACGTGTTTGCACACTGGAAACTGCCGGTGGAAACGCTGGAAGGAAGGGAGCGTCATGCGAGAGCAGCACTTTTTTTTTTTTTTTTTAAACATTGAGCAATATAATCCATCGCAGCAGAGCGTTTGATAGAAACTGAGACAGAAGGAGCTGCAGAGTTGATCGGCGTGGAGCTCAGGGCTGAATAAAGAGGCTTTAGGAGACTCGTGCTCGGCTCAGTGCCACCGAGTATATATATTTATTTTATTTGTTTTTAACCTTTTTGCTTTTTCTTTTTTTTTACGCGCAGAGAATATAACTTTTGGATACCCTCGTGCGCCGTATCTTTTCCCACTTACGTCTTTCTTGTGCGTCTTGCTTGACAATCACACATCTCCACGCCATTGGATCATCAAAGCCTTCAACAGTTTCCTACCAAATATAGACACTGTTAATGCTGCAGTGTCCTTGACGGAGCGGACCGGTGCCAAAGTTTAAAATTAAATTCTCAGACCATTTTGAGTCATTGGGGTTTTTTTTAAACAACAAAATTTGCTATTTGGACAGGAGCATCCCGTAGTTTAGCATCTGACTCTGGGTCTTGTATTTTCTGCCTGGAAAAAGCAGCATGTTGCTTTGATACCGCTCTGACTGCTCTCAACAGAAGCCATTTTTAAGTCTTTGGTTTTCTGTCTGTAGTCGTTGAAGCTGATCGACCATCTCTGGCCTGCAGCATTAACCTGTTCACACAGATTATTTTTTTATTTTTTTATTTTTTAAGAGCACATTTCATTTCTCTTTCGTTCTCACATTTCAAACAATGACTCTCTGCGCGTCTGGGCGCGGTGGATGTACCATGGCTCGTCTACTGCTGCTGCTCGGGTTGGCTTTGGTGGTTTTGGTCGGAGCTCAAGCCGAGCAGACCAAGCAGACCGAGGGGAGCCCACCGGCCGTCACCCTCGGGACTCTGATCACCGGGACCTGTCGGGAGGTGCAGCGGTACGCGGAGTCCGTGCTGGGGAGCGGAGTGATCCGATCAGTGGCTGAGGTACGATGGGGGAAGTGCACTGACGTTTCTGTCAAAGCACCGGGAAGTGGCTTTTTTTTTTCTCTCTCTCTTTTCTTATTTTTCTGGCTGTTTGGTCTAACTTCACTGTTTTCTCAATCAATATCACTAATTTTCCACTTCCAACCTTCTCATCTCTCTCCAATATGTCCTCACTCCCCCCCCCCCCCACACACACACATTCCTGTCCCCATGCACCTCAACTTGTTAATCTCTCCCCTGATCCCCTCATCTTCTCTGCCCTCATTTCGTGTCTTCTTATATCCACGCATCACTCCCCTCACCCATACACGTTTCTGTATCCCTGCTTCCACCCCTGCTGTGGCTCCCTTTCCTCAGAGTGCAGTGTTGTATCTTGAGTCATTTCTGGGTGAGGAGAACGTCTATACGGTGGCCATGGTAAGAAAAAAACCCCAAAAAAAAAACAACCCCTCCTGGGTGTCTCCATCTAGCCTGCCCTGAGTCCTCTCATGTGGCTTTGTTCTAGCTCATGTCACCCCCAAAAAGTTAGTGCCAAGTAGGAGCATGGCTGTGTTAAAAAAGTTTGTTCTGTACAGTGGTGTTTGCATGAGAGGCCACAGCAACGTCCAATATGTGTGCTTGTAGTGATAAGAGTCTGTTTTAGTGCTGGAAAGTTGACAGATGTTGTTCAACTTGACTCAATTGGTAGCTGTAGATGCAAAGTATAGGGTGTATACATAATCTATGTAAGATCTCCCTGAACTGAAATGCACCCCTGCAGTAAGTTCTAGTGAGAGTTTAAAACAAGACATTCATTTAGGAATTTTCATTCACTTTTTGGGCAAAAGTAATTAAAAAAAAAAAAACATTAACACTGCACACTGAACTGTTCTTCTAATATATCAAAAACATTATTTTAGCTGCCTGTCAGCCTTTCCGTCATCTTGTTAAATTCCTGTGAGCCATCAGTGCAGTTGTCAGATCTTGGGGAAAAAAAAAAACTTTAGCCTTGAACTGTCTTTCTGATCCAGCGCTTGAAAAATTGTTTGGATTTCTACCCTCTGCGACATTTGTATTTACCGTGCGGTGCTTAGTCAGTTTGGAAAGCTTAAATTAAATCGCAGCAGAAAGTAAATAAATAGTTTAATGTGCCTCAATAGCTCAGAGGAAGTCAAACAGAAAATTGGCGTAGAAGTTCCCCTGTAATGTGGGATACTTCTGCTGAGCTTTCCTCTTTTGCTGCATCACACCTTTTGAAAGTTTGTTGCCGAACTCCCGCTCTTCAGAATTTTAAGCTGATCAGTCCAAACTTAAAGTATTCATGTTCCATTAGTTTGGAAATAGAGCCTGAATATACCAAAAATGATTATGTGATCAGAGTGACAGACGCTTGACTCTTGCTTGGACATAGTGCTCTGTTCTCATGTATGTGTCACTGTGTAGCCCAACAGGTGCAGATAAGAAACTTGTCCAGCTTACTGGACTACCCTTGACCTTGCCTGACAAGGTCACGCACTGACTGTATGTGTGTTTTGTGAGATGTTTTGGGGGTTGGTGACAGTGACAGTACAGGAATAGAGAGGGGCACCATCCAGCTGTCACTTGCATGCACAGCTGTTTGTCCAAGTCAACAATACAAGACTTCTTCTGTCTTGAGGTGCAGCTTCAAGTCGCCGTAGTTTTTACAAAGTAGTCTTGCTGCTTGTGTAAAAATGAATGATGTGACTGTGCATAAGGGTCATGAGCATACATCTGTGTCGCCTGTGTCCTCTCTGCATGATTGTGGATGTGATGATCAGAATGCTTCCTCTCTTCATTGTTACTCTGTATAATAACATGTCTCTCCGCCCCGCCGCAGTTTTTTGAGATGGTGATCCGATTCCTGGCCGAAGGAGCGGCCAGCGGCCTGAACGTCATCGCCGTGTATGTCACAGAGATCCTCAGGGTCACAGGATTCGATGGTGGGTACCAGGATGGACGCTGTTCATGTGTTTAAGGCTTCTTTGCATGCTTTACTTTTTTGCTTCCTGTATGTGCAGCTGACAGAAAGTAAGAGTAGATGTGTGGCAATGATGGTTTGAAGCGCCAGTAAAAATATGCAGACTTGCCTCTCCCTCAAGGAATTTATCTGCCACTCCTTTTTCTTTTTTTTTTTCAGCGTTAGTGTTTCCTGCTTAAGCTTTCAGTGTAACAGAAAGGTATTGTCCAGCTTCAGTCTTCATAAAAAAAAGCTTAACCTGGATTTCCTTCCTCCACAGCTGCAGAGACCTTGCCCCGCTTCACTCCAGAGGGTGTGGCTGCCATCGCCCAATGGGGTCTTTTGGCCCTCATTGGCTACTGGGTGCTGAACATCGTTCTCCGTTTGTTCCTCTGCGTGGCAAAGCGGGTGTTCTGGGTGGTGAGAACCGTTTTAGCGCTGTGGCTTTTCGGACTGATCGTGACGGACAAGACTGCCAGCGCAGACACCACAGCGGTGCGAGTAGGTGGCCTGGTGCTGGGATGCGTCGTGTTGACTCTGCTCACTTCAGGATCTGAAAACACTTGCACGGTGGAGCACAGGCTGAGCACCCTGGAGGGCCGAGTGAAGGCCGTGGAGAAGAGGAAAGTGGAGAAGTGACCAGAGAGGGGCTTCAAAATGGACAACGGTGGTGGTTATGTTGGATAAGAAAATAGTAACACTGATGGTTTTCTGTATGTGTGTCAAACTATTATTGGAAATAAAGTAACCTGAGGGATTTGTAACCAGAAATTCTCCATTGTTTGCCTTTTAGAAATGCCAAATTATTACAGCACATTGAATATTAGTTACTGGTAATAACGGCTAAATCTGACAAAGGTATTACAAAGTTGAAATATCAGAGCTCAGAGAACCAATTGTTAACTGTCCTGCATTCTTTTTTTTCCGAACTGCATGCACCCAAAAAAAAAAACCCTCCATAATCAAAACCAAACAGGAAAATACATATTTGAAGCTTTGTTCCAATGCTGACATGTTAAAAATCTCCCAATCACAATGCTGACATGTTAAAAATCTCCAAATCACAATGCTGACATTTGAAACTGATGGAAGTGAAACTAGTTTTGAAGAATTTTGGTCATTTACAAAAGTATTATTCAATTCAAAACTTCAACCCACTAGTGGCACTAGAGGAAAAAATAAGAAGATCCCTATAGACAAAAATCCCCTCCTAGTAACTTTTATGGGTTCCATATTTAATTAAAAGCAGGCTGATGGTTTTCAATTCCAGCATGGAGGCTGCCTGGCATTTCCCTCTCTGCTAAACTTCACTATACTGTGCCAAAACATGGCAGAAAAGTATCTTTTTAACATGGTGGGAGGTTGCCTTAGAGTAGGCTTTATCAAGAAAATAAATCCAGTGTCAAGCAGCCAATGTTATCTTTGATATTTTTTTTCAGTTCTCTACACTAATGTATCTTTGCCCAGGCTCACCAATGGGCATTGGTCTCTTCAGTCCATTGTGCCTCATTCGTTCTCTGCTGCTCAGTCAGCTGGAAGCCTTTTTGATCCTCTGGGTTGACACTAATGATCCTCGCCCCCACTGCCACTTCGGTCGAGTGGAACAACCTGACCCGAGAGCCACAATAATCAGCCCCGCTAGCTCACCCTGCAGCAGCAAAACTCACTTGCCCCACTACTCTCTGCTGCTGTGGAGCACCAAGTGGGTCAGAAGTGTAACCACAATGAAACGAACTGTGTCAATATCTTCATAGCATTTTCAACCACACTTAGATGCAGAGAGTGATGACAATGTGATTCTGGACCATGTACATCACGATTATTTAATGATGGTTTTGCTAGTAGCTCTAAAAATTGCAGATGATTCTGTTGTGACTGCAGCAGCTCCACTCAGCTCTGCAGAGTTTTATAACTCCAGTCTTCGGGATTTTGCAGCCCACACATCTACTGTTTTGTTTTCTTCTCACAGAAGGATCTTTCAGCTGAAGCACACGGCTGCTTTAAATGAAAGGGCTTTGAAAGCAATTGGTGTACTGTACACAAGGAAGCTTTAAGGAGATAAAGAACCACATTCCCCTCAGGAATTAAGAGACCAAAAAATGGAACAAGAAGAGAGTACATGTTTTACATGTATTCATCATGTGGCCATGAACTAACTCTAAATCAACAGCGTCGCTCCGGGTCTATTTAATGTGTAAATAAGCAACTGTTTGCTATTGAATTAGCTAAAAAGAAGGGGGAAAATGATTTTCTTTCTAAAGTTATGTTGAATAATGTCATAAAGTGACCAAAGAAACAAATAATAAAAAAACACTCATGCAATAAGTAATCCTGGGTTTACCTGTGCATGTTCGTACAAGTCAAATCCAAAGTGCCGGTTAGTTACAGACGCATGCTTTCTGATTAAATGTTTTCATCGACACTTCCAAAAGAAAGAGTGAAACAATTGTGTTTATTTAATTATGTAATTTTTCATTACAAATCCTGCAGCTCCTCTGACTCACATGAGATTCAGATTCACAAGACTGAAGAGTTCAGTTTAATAAAGAGGATTATGTGTGTTTCAAACCATCACACGGTTTAGCTGTCAAGACTGACGTTCCAAGGTGCTTTAAGTTTTCTTCTGCTGGTCTGATTATGAAGGGACTGTAGTGTGCAAACTAGCCTTAAATCCCCTAATCTAATTCACATTTAAAAATGCAAAGAAGTCTCAGTCTTTAGATTTTAATTTCTCGGATTACTTAAAAATCCTGTTGTGTTAAAAGTTATACAGTAATTTACTCATTTTTATTTAGTCAGTTAGTTTATATCTATTTCCCACAAGTTTTACAAAGATATCTTACATGGATTTAGTGAAACATGTATTACAGGCATTAGTCCACTGCAGTCCTACTTAAAGCACAAGTATGTGGTGGATTTGGAGAGATTTTCAGCATCACTCAGGGTAACAAATAGGTGAAAGACACAATGGTCTCAGCCATGTTAACGTCTGCTCTGCTGAGTTTCTTCTGTGAAGCGGTTGGTATGGTGGGAAAGAATGTAAACGCTTGGAGGAGCTTTTGGCTGGATGGGCGGAGCCTGTAGTGGTGTATGGGAGAACTACAAGAAGACATTTTTTTATCCTGAAAACATGGAGAAAGTGAACACTTACAAACATATACGGTGCAGTCGGGTTTAATCAGCTTTAATGCAACTGACATAAGTCTGAAAACACAAAGATGCATACAAAAAGTGCTCACCCGTTATGAAAAGGTTTAAAAACACATTTGATCATGTTCTTAAACACGGTTCCAGTAAATGATTAGGACATGCTCAAAACATTTAAAAAGTAAAATCTACAATAAAAAATGTACATTCATAATACACACACATATATGAAACTTCCAAATGCAGCTCTGTGTTTGATTTACAAGAGAATGATAAAAATGAAAACTGCAGAAAGAAGCACATTGCAGCTGCATTTAAGTATATTGCTTTTATATGTGTTTATGTGATACATTTATGTTAACTAATGCACTTGAGGTATCCTTTGAGGTGTAACTGCACGAGTGATACCTCAAAGTTGACATACAATAACTATAAGAGCATAAAACATGTATATACACATGGGATTATCCTGAGAAATGTAACATGTGTCATTTCAAATTGATGACACACTTAGAAAAAGTAGGAGTTTAGCAGAGTTAAAGCAACTTTATGTTTGTAATTTCCTTGAAAGTGTTAACAGTCTGCAGTAATTAAACAACACCGAACAAGAACTGCATATGAACGCAATTCATAGTACTGAGATTATTAAAAAACTGGAGGTTTTAACTGAGTTTCATGAGGTAGAAAGTCATCCTAGAAGAGTGTTTTCACCCTGAGGCTGTTATCCTTTGGCAGAGTCTCAAGGCTTACCATACATTTGCAGTTTGAAGGCTAAAATCTATTATATACATGAAAACGAATGGGACTGACTCAGATTAAAACATTTTCGTAATCTTTCTGTCAAGGGTCCCACAAAATGATATTATTAGCAGGCTAATTAGCTGTTTCTTTTTAAATGCCCTCGATGACAGGTTTATGATACGTTTTATATCACTCTGATTCCTGATTGATAAATCTGGAGACAAAGCTAGCGGCTAACTAGCTTAGTTTACATAAACACAGCAAACAGGGGGAAACAGCTTGCTGGGCCTTAAATAAGTAATTCAAATTGTTCTCTTGGGCTCAAATATTGCCTTAATCAATATGACAGAGGACTATTTTCTAATAGTTCTAATCATTAACAAGTGTTCTTCTTAAAATGTAGGGTTTCATCAGAAGTTGAGTTTGTCTGAAGTATAAACATCAGAGAAAGTTGAGTTTGAACTGAGTGGGAGGGCCGAGGAGATGGAGAGTTCAAACCGTGGCCCGGGGTCCTCAGAGGGGACGGGGAAAGTTGGAGCGACTGTCTGCTCTGCTGGAGCGACTGCCGGCTCTGCTGGAGCTGAAACCTGAAAGAAAAGACAGAATTTGACTGACTATCAGTTTCAGATTCTCATATTAATGCAACACCGGCAGAATTAAATGTACAGATATTCACTGTTCGCTTTGTTGTTGCTTCAAAGAGAAAATTCACCTCATGTTACCACTAGAGATATTTTGACACATCACATTGAACAGTTTTCTATCTTTGTAGATGTAGTGACAGTATTGACACGATACATAATGAGAAATATGAGGGGGGGGGGGGGGGGGGAGTAGCGTCCCGAAGCAACATAGTCTACTGTTCAACACTATAATGGGAATACCTGCCTTGATATCAATGCTATGCTTAGTTCAACAGAATCACAATGCCAAGCAAAGGGCAGAGTAAAACATACTGCTGATCAGAAAACATTCATGCAGCTCCTCCTGCAAATATCAGATGTTTTTCAGGAGTTTTGTGCAAGTCTGAAAGTAACCATGCGCTATCTCTTAGGGCTGCTTGGACCCTTAAATGATTTAGATATGATATTTTTAGGGGTACATGTGTCAAAAAGTGTTTATTTGTGTTAATACCATGACAAACCATGTTACCTTTAACATAGTTGCATCTTGATAATACAATCATGTAAAAGAGAGGTTCATATAAAGGCAGGGAAGACAGGTTTTTTTTTTTTTGAACTGAACTTTTTGAGACAGGATAGGCACCCAACATGCCATTTAGGCCTGAAGGATAAGAGCATGAAATGCCAGAGGGAATGTGTGTGCGAGCTCTGACTGATTAGATCATACCTCAGAATAAGCTGGGGGCACACTCACAGAGGGCGGATTGTGTATCTGCCAGATGAAGTGAAACAGAACACGTTAGAAGTGGAGAGAAAGGAGTTAAACAACAGTAGAAGAGGTTATTACAACAACAAGCAGCACAATCACTAACCAGCGGGACGCTCAGATTATAAGGAGGCACAGTGGGGTACAGCGTCTCAGAGGGCCGACTGAGCTGGTCTGAACTCGGTCTTACAGGCTCCCTCTCATACTGCAGTTTGAGTGAAAGAGAAGAACAATCAGTTTGCATGACTTGAACTTGAGCTTCTTAGTTTATTTATTGCACTAACACTCTGAAGAAGCACGGGCCGGCATTAATGCCAAATTTGTTCACCTGACGGTAATGACCAGTAGGTTCCTCATCAGGACTCTCAGACTTGTCCTTCTTGGAGGAGCTTATGCTGTTGCAGAAACGTATGGTGCAGCAACAGCAACTGAGTCCACCAAGTATAGCACCAATGCCAATACCAATGGAGGTGGATGTATCAAACTTAGGCTCTTCTTCTTCTTCTTCTTCTTCTTCTTCAGCAAGAGAAGAGGTAGAAAATGTATCACCTTGACGAATAATATCATTGTGTTAAATATTAAACGTGTTGCTTTTCTACCAGCCTCTTGAATAATAGGCTATCCTGCATTTCTCTGGTTATATCACAGTTCATCTAAACTTGACGTCAAAAGGATGCAACCCTTCAAACTTGTGATGATCCTTTTTCACTACTTTTCAAAAATGAAAGAGAGATAGATTATATGTTCAAAAGACACACTGAAAGAAGAAGAATGGAGAGATCCATAAGTAACAGACCTATTACCGCTTTATAAAAGACAATTGAAGAAGGTACACTATGTGAACAAGAAAATAACACAGTTTAGGAAACTTTATAAATAGTTTGGCTGAAGCTAATTAACAAACCAAAAGTGTATGATAAAGATACATTATTTCCAGTCATCTAAAAACATGTACTTACTTCCTTCTACTTCCACTGTCTCCACTATGGCCAGGTCACCATGCTTATCTCTGACCTCAAAGCGCCCGTTACATGACAACTGAATGTAATTTTTGTAAATCCCACATGGATATAAAAAGTCGAGTCCATCACAATTCTGGTCGTCAAAATGCTCCAGCAGTTTGCCTTTACGAACTACCTGAGTCTCATATCCACCATCTCGGATGAAGTAAATGTTGCAGGAGTCTGGTTCCACATTAAACGTTAAGTCGAAGTATCTGCCAACAACTTTTGTGTTGTATCTTTTGATTACTGAAAGACAAAAAAGCACATAAGACAGAGTGATTCTCCAAACAAAATCCCAAACTCATCCCAGGTAGGTTTTTTTTTTTTTTACATTTGTCTTTCACAGCTTTCATCCTCATTTTGGGAACCATGCACATGAGCCTTCATGGTGTGAGTAAAAAGAGAAGATTAATACAGATTTATTAAGAGAGACTATTTATTATTCACAACTGAGGGATGCAAGGCAATCTTTCCTCTCAGACATCATCACCAAAAACTAATCTGATGCACATGCCCTGTTTGCTACTGTTGACAGGTTAACAAACCCTGCTGTGTCAGATGCACCTGAACTTTGTTCTACAGTACCAGGACCTGCGATAACTCTGCCACCTTCTTTACAGAACAAAATTCAGAAAAGACGACAGGCAGTCAGTACCTCCATAACATGTCAGGATCTGTACAGTGTCCGTTTAAAACCAATTTACTTACACTAACTACTAACTGACTTACCAATATAACAATTTACTCACTAAATTCCTTCTCCTGTTGTCTTGATATTCTGCTTGAAGGTGTTTTTTTTTTTTTTTAAGTATCACAAGTCATGACGTCAGATCTGATACAGATTGTTAACTTGTGTCTTTTCTCAGGTGTCTACCCACAGGGCCTGCAAACAGCAGGGTTGCCACACTTTTCTGGAGATTACTTTCCAGGACGTTTTCAGTGACAGTTCATCTGGTTTGACAGGAATGCATCGTGTCCATATGCTAATAAGTTCCCTTTCTATTGAAGTCAGATTTTAAAGATGTGCAGTCTATGGCTATAAGCATGAACTCTCACATGCTTATAGTAATGACCAATCGATCATAGGGTAATACAAATAAACCTGCAGATGTATAGCACTTCATTATATTAATATCTGTATGTTAAAATGATAGTTTGGGCATTAATAACCTAATTTTTCTATTATTTTTTCTATTATTTTCTCTAAAATGGTAAAAAAAAAAGAAAATGACCACAGTATATTAGTTAACTGACTGGAGAACTGGGTGGACCTTTCTGGAACCTTTCTGAACTGGTTTCAGTCCTACTTTTATAATTCTACACTTCATTTAGCACACGTTTTTGTCCAAAGTGATGTATGTAAAGCTTTCCCCTGAAACTGAGTGAATCCAAGCTGATTACAGCTTCTGTTCTCTGTGAAAGAAACGTCAAACCTAAATACTTGAAATAATTGGGGGCGGCAGTAGCTCAGTCTGTAGGGACTTGGGTTGGGAACTGGAGGGTCGCCGGCTCAAGTCCTGGTGCGGACCAAATCTGGAAGTTGGTCTGGTAGCTGGAGAGGTGCCAGATCACTTCCTGAGCACTGCCAAGGTGCCCTTGAGCAAGGCACCAAACCCCCTCCCCACCACCAGCTAAGGAGCGCCTGCCGGGGGTGGCTCCCTCACTCTGACATCTCTCCATTAGTGCATGTCCATAGTATCCTGTTTGTGCATGTGCGTATATTTCAGCCTATGTGTGTGTTGCATGACTCACAGAGTGTAAAAAACAATTTCCCCTTGTGGGATCAATAAAGTAAATCTTAATTCAAGAGAATCCTTTCCAATGTTTTAATTGATTTCTTCAGTAATTTGGTGAACATTAGTGTTGACATTGACACATAAAACCCTTTTGTCTTGACCCATAATGGTCATGTTGCCATGAAAACTTGATGAATGTGCAATATTGAGTTGATATTCTTGTGTCATTGAAGTTTCACTCAATAAAACATGCAAGGTAAAAAAAAAGGAGTATGAGGAAAAGAAATGAGAAAAGTTGAAAAACTAGGATTCATCCTCACCCGTGACTTCCAGGGTCCTGGAAGAAATTACTTTCTGATCTTTGTCTTTCATTATGTAGGTACCGCTGTCATTCCGGGTTACTTTTTCTAAAAAAAAGTAAGAACCAATCACCTTTTGCCTACTGTTATAACTGGTTGAAGGCTCATCCCGATTCCACAAGATTGTCACATGTGAGATGTTCGATCTGATGAACCCAACAGATTCAGTCTTTCTCGGCAGCCTAATCCTGTATGTGTCCCCATACTCTACCTCATCCTGTGAGAAACCTAGAGAGAGTAGAAAAACAACAACACTGTCACCAACCTTATGAATACATGTTACATTTCAGCACTGTTGATTGCTCAAGTGTGACTAAAAAACATGAACATTTTAAATGAATTTAGTAACCTTTCTTAATAGGTATAAAGGAACCTTTTTAATGTATGTATTTTTTAATGTATACATTTTTAATGTAGATATATTTGAGTATCTCTAATAAATTACATGAATTAACTTTACCCCTAAATATGCTTAACTTGAATGTGTACAGATCATAACCCCTGTAGAGTTAGCAATATAACAATGGAAAAAAAATGTTGTTAACAGTAAAAGCCCTGTATTGTAAATTCTAAAGTATTACATTTAGTCAATCCAAGCATGTTTTTTTTTCTTTTAACTCAGACACAGTGGTGGCTCAAAAACCCCACTGTGACTTGACTTCTAACATTTTGCCCTGAGTTACACCACAGTCATGTCAGATGAAACGGTGTGTGCCTTTATTCATTTCCACCAATATTGTTTTAATGCATTTATCATTCAATCAATTAATGTCACCTTTTCCTTTATATTTTGACAGTTTTACAATCCATTTACTCAACTATTTCAACCACGTATCCATAATTTAAGTCAAGTTTTATACCTTTATCCATGTGAACTACTTCTCCATACTTGTAGGCCTAATAAGGCTATTCTAACATGTTTTAAATACTTCCAGTCAAACATTTCAAAATAGACTATCTCTCAACCATCGCTTTTTATTTTAAACATTACAACTGTAAGATAATATTTTGTTTAGACTTCTGTGCTTGTTTGTCTTTTTTCCATCACCCTTGCATGATTGTCACATGTAGATTTAAATTGTTACTGATTGACATTTAATCAAACATCATTTTTTTTTTTTAAATGTTTAGGCCTAGTCTATATTGAATTTACGATTTAGCCTACTCCACAATAATTCAGCAGCAGAGCAACATGTCTGGGTTCAATTCAGTTCACTTCATTGAATGTTTTGTAAAAAGAAAAGCAAAACGACTCAGCCTGTTGAACAATGTTTCTAAATGACTTGAACTCAGTGAAGTGTCAGTATTTTTTCTCGTACTCACCCATTGCAAAGAAGCTCCACAGCATGAACACCACTATCATTATTTCCATTATAGTAAACACACACAGAGCCCGTCGTGAACCGTCGACTAGTCACAAGCACGACACGTTTGTAGTTTATCAAGACTTCATGCAACAACGTCAACATCCAGAAAGCACTGCGCTATAGCCTACGAAAAAAAGTCCCACGTTAACCAAACATTACAGTTATCGTAATAAATCCTTTAGAAGGTAACCATGTAGGAAGAGGGTCTGTCTCTGTGCTCCAACAGGGCGTAGGCTTCTCGTTCTCGCGATGAGTTCAGGGACTATAGGAAATCCTAGTGAGTGACCCCAACCATAACCCTGATGATGGCAAGCGGTTTTAAAAAACAAATTGGGAAAAAAAATCACCTTATTTGCTGTTTTTCACTCAGTGGTAAGAATTCCTTCCTATTCACAATCATGATTTCAGATATCCAGAAAACTCTCAAGGGCAAATGACGTCACGTTTTCCATTCTTGTGTATCGGGCTTTCATTTTCAGATGTTTATGGCGTTTTGTAGGAAAAACTCCCACTTCAGAAATGCCTTTCCATAATTACTAATCATTCGCCTAATTTAATTATGGCTAGGCCTCAGAGAATTACACTTTGGATATCAAGAATGATTTTTTTTATTTAGATATCCATACTGTCATAAGAATGTTATTGAGGATATATAAAGCCTATTTTAACTAAGAAGAATCAAATTGCAGATATCTTTAATGTAGAATATTGTACATGTAGGCTATATGTCTGGCTTTTTAAATGTGAAAACTGCCTGTGAAGTGGTCCCATCTCTGTTACAACTTGCACTTGCACTAGGCTATTTGTTTATTTGTTAGGTTAGCTGTACCCTAGAGGTCGGCTGTTCTAAAAGGGGTCCACAGGAATGTTGAACATGTATGCACACACGACACGAGACTGTGAAGACGAGGGTATTTATGTTTATATAGCCTAACTCTAGGATTACTTGCAGTCAGAAACTCCACTCACTTTGAACTTGTTTTAATTTTTGACAAAGCTTATGTGCTCTCTTTTAGGGCCTCTCTTTTAGGGCCTCTCTTTTTCAAGGGTCAGCTTCAGAACATTCTTACGGTCTGATAACAACTTAAGTCTATTTGAACAAATAAGCTATTGTGAATGGTATAGACTCGAATGACTGTGAGAATGATGAAGGCTAGATAAATACTCCTCATAATGGTTCTTATTCTTAAACTTAAACCAACAAGTTGTTTTTTACAATGTATATTTCTTTCCACAAAATGTGAGCTTCAACAAGTCAACCATCATTACTTTTAATGCAGATCAATATTTTAATATGTGAGTGGTTCAAAAGGTGAGTTTACAAACCTAGCTTTCAAAAGACCTTAAATATATAAACACAAAGATACAAAGTGTAGATATCAAAACAAGTATAATAAATATAATTTCTCATATGCATGCATTAAATGCAATGATGAAAGCCACTCAGACATGTTGATACATACATCTTTAGGCACAGGATAAGGTTAGAAATAATCATATCACAAAGTGTATAAAAAAAAAACTGAGAGTATTTTTTTTTCCAAGAATGCTGAGGTAGCTTTGACTCCAGGTTGAGTCACATAATCTGTTCTATCTGCTAAACAAACTCATTTTGAAACATTATCTCTCCTCCTTGGCAGCACCAGGCACAGCAGACATTAAAATGTGAACATTAGACATTCTTAATATATGGCAAATTCATTTCATTTGGTGTATTATATCGATAAGCACTTCAAACATCTGCAGTTTAAAACTACAGTACAGAAACCGAGAGAGCTTTATTTGTTTTTTTAGTTCCTGAGAAAATTGAGTGAATTCATAAATTGTCCTACAAGCTTTTAAATGTGTGTTAATATGGTTAACTTGATTTATATCCTCCTCTCACACTCCACTGTTTGCTACACTATTACTTTAAAACAGATCCAGTCATCAAGAGTTAATACAAAAATAATACTATATTAGCATCAAACTGTGAGCACCCTGCATTTGCGTGAGTACAATTGTATTCATACTGAAGAAAGTCCCAACCTTTAACAAATGTGGAAATGAGTCAAGCTAGCATTAATGGCATTGTGTTTCATTTTGCATTTATAAAATAACTGCCAATCAAAATCATGCTTGGATGCTTGTTAACGCCCCACAGCGGAAGACTATTAGGGCTTTCAAACTCCTGAAAAAAACTGACTTTATCTGAAGTTTCTCCTGCCAGCCCCTTGGTATTTATTCTGCTGAAAGTCCGAGTGAGCTGATGTGAGAACGCAAAAGGATATGGGACTGCTTTTTTCAGCATTTCTACGATACAAGTAGGGGGGCTACAAGGAAAAAAGGTTAGGAACCACTGGTACTTGACTTTGTCCACCTCTTAATGCAACTTATTTTCTTTTTTTTTTAAAGGTTTATTTTGGGGCTTTTCGTGCCTTTATTTGAGTGATAGGACAGTGGATAGATTCAGAAATTGGGAGAGAGTGTGGAACAACATGCAGGAGAGGAGCCACAGGTCGGATTTGAACCTGGGCCGCCTTGCTTGGAAGATTACAGCTTCCATACATGGGAGGTGTGCACAAACCGCTGCGCCACCAGCCCTCCGAATGCGACTTATTTTCTAACGTGTGTATATGTCACTGTCCAATCAAAGGCAGCTAAGGCTGTGTTCCAGCTGGTCACAATAAACAACACCTCATCTGTCCAATGTGAATGACGTTTCTTACTAAAAGTTGAGTTTGTCTGAGGTATAAACAGCAGCGAAAGTTGAGTCTGAACTGAGGGTCGGAGCAGAGAGAATGGTCAGTCCTTTCTGCTCATACCTCAGCTCACGGTCAGAGGAGAGACAATCAGAGCCGAAAGTAGGAGCTGGAGTGTCCCCTTGATCTCGCAGAGGCGCAGCCTGTGAGAGGAGTAAACCAAAACAAGTTTAATGTTTAAGTTGATGAAAAAGTGGGGAATGACATGTGGGAAAGGAGCCACAGGTTGGACTTGAACACGGCCCGTCCGCTTAGAGGTCCACATCTGTCCTATGTGGGGGCGTGGCCTAACCGCTAGGCCATCAGTGCCCCAGGATGATCGTCTTTTACAATACATTTTTAGTGGATTAAATGATAAGGATACATGATGATATTAAAGTTGAAGTGACGACGAACATATAAATGTGCACTATGTCTGTGTGATCATACTGAATGGAGACAAATAAGGAGACAGTATATTTGCTTTGGATAAACTTTTGAATGTGTTTTGGCACCAAGCATGGACTTGGTTATGTTAATGAGCAACCAAACAAGGTCTAAACCTAACACCTCTTATCGTTGTTGTCATGGTTTGAACCGACGAAACACCTCAAAAGAAGTTTTGGTTCATTGCTTGAATACTTTAGTTTTAAGACATACCGGTGTCCCAGATGATGAAGCTGCTGGCTCACTGGGGTTCATTGGCTCATAAGAGGGTTTTGGCGCAGGTGCAGCACGGTAACTCGAGCTTGAAAGATGAGTCTTATCCTGCAATCGGAACAAGGATATTGAATTAAAAATAGCAACACATATTACAAACAGTTGATCTGATTGCCAGCTAGCGCTAACTTACATGGTAATACACTGGAGGTGCCGCTGCAGCCTCGTCCCTTTTAGGAGCGCTCTTTTTACAACCTCGTTTTCTCATGCAGCAGAAGCAGAGAATCCCCACAAAGACGATTCCGCAATAACGGAAACAATAACAAATGTAGGAATAGATGCTGTAAGGGCATGAGAAATGGATGTTAGTGGGGTTATGTTAGTTTGAATCATCAGCGAAGTTGTAGTCATACATTTTCCCTCTTGTGACTAATTTAACGTGTGCTGCTCACCAGCCTGCACATTCAGATGAACGGTCAGGGCCAAGTAGCTTTCCTCGTCTCTAAACCCAAGAACGCCAGAGTCCATGATTCGCAAAGACCTGATTTCTATGCCGTCATGCAAAATCTGAACCCTCCCGTCATATTCCTGGTATTCCAGAATTACTATTGTCAGTGAGCAGATTGCCTGCTTTGATCAAAATTAAGTATTCGGTGTCTTCCCCGGGTTTAGTCACAGTTACAGTCCAAGAGGATTTGGTTGAAGGATATCTGATGATGAGGTCCTCGCCTTCACTTCTTTTATAGCTTATAGAGTCCGCTGTGAAGGAGAAGAGTTGATAGAACATTTAATCAGCTACACAGAGAGTCTACAGACAACATTCTTCTTCTATGACATTCCTGAAATCACCTTCTACTTTGAGCAAAGTCCTGGACAGCAAAGACCCATCTTTTCCCCTGACATTGTAGAAGCCACTGTCCTTCTGAGTGAGTTTGATGATCTCCCAGAAATCACACTTCTTCTGTCCTCTGCCTCTCTTGGTGGTCCGAGGGTCTGTGCGGCTCCACCGGGACCTTTGGTAGGGAGTAACTGGGACTGGGACTGGGACTGGGAAGTGAACTCCAGGATTTCAGCCTGCCGAGGAACGTCAAGGTAATACCAATTTCCGTAAACTGTGCTGACATCGACTGCACAATCTGAAAAGAACACAGGGTGGACTTTTTAGGACTCTACAATTAAATAGAGAAATACTAATTAACTGTTGGAATAAAGGGTTTTAATGTGCAGTACAGTGTCATTTTCTCACCCAAAACCTCCAGTTTGATGATATCAAGACGCCTATTCTCATTGGATGAGACAGAAGAAATCCCATCATCTCTTTCCGTCAAATCGTTCAAATAAGAAGTGATGAAGTTTTGTTTAAGCCGTGGGTCTTTTGCCGAAATAATTGGACAAAAGTAAAAAACTGAATCAGGACAGACGGAGTACATTCATTCTGATTCATATCTGGTTTGCTCTGAACAGATGCTTAACTTTGTCATATCCCAGCTCTTTCCACACAAGGTTGTCATAGCAATAAGCAGCATAGCAGAAATCATAGCACCAGATGCATGCCTACCTCCCCGTTATCCATCAATAGAGTTGTGGGTCCCCCCATCACTCGGAGTGAAGTACAACTGTCCACTGAAAAGGAGCGGTGTGTATTCAAACGGTATGGAGAGTCTTCCACCAAAGCACAGCGCTTTATTCTCAAGAGCAGAAGATGAACCTTCAAACACAGAGTTATAAATAGGTGAAGGCGTAAATGGAGGGTATATACGTAGGCCTATGTCAGAAACAACTATTACAATGTTGAGAAAAAAATGTTCAACTGAAGCTACATTATAAAAAATATCCCATGACCACTTGATAAGTGTGACAAAAGGATCCTGCCTCTTTTTTTTTTTTAAATTAAGGGTCTTGGATTTTAGTTTTGCATAGCAGTATGCTAACCTGCTATTTAACTCCAAACACAAATTACAACTGGGGTTTATGAGAATATCAATTCTTTAACATATGAAGTTACTGACTCAGGCATGATAGTATGACTTACAAAGCCTTTAATAAGGGGTTAACGAGGTCTAACCTCTGGGTAACACCAATGGCTGAATAAAATACATCCACTTTCTCCTCAGCCTGAGTGCATTTACATTGTTGAATAACTCCTTCTATGCACTAATTCAAAAAAAAAGAAAGAAAGAAAAAAACGTACACTCACCAAATACAAAAAAGGAAACAGCAATATACAACCCTAACATGGCCTGCAGAGAGAGCAGAGGTTATTTAATTACACAACATGATGAGATCGCCACAGCATTTCTTTAAAACCAGAGAACATTAAGATGAAAATTTGTGCACAACATTTCAAATAAGCACAGTGGCAACAATTTGTCATCTCACTGTTAAACGATTTTCCCAAATGTATTGTATTACTTTTAGTCCAAAACCATAGACTGTAAACATAAACAACGTCCTAGAGAAGGAAAAACCCGGCCAGGGGCGAGGCTATCTCTCAAACTGTGTTTTAGCGTCATGTCTGCGCAGACTGTGCGCAAACTGTGCATATAGCCTACCGTCCTCCAGGCGCCTTTTTCTCAACCACAACACGGGCTGTGTTTTAACCATAGACTGTATATTAAGGTTTAAAACGATCAATAAAGACAAACAGATAGCCTACAATATATAAAAAGCATGTAGGCTGCGTCAAAGAATAAACAAAGAAAACAAACACATTCAACAGCATATGTTTTAATAGCAGTGCTTAACATTTTAAAAGTGTAATATTTATTTAATATAGGATGATAATTAATGCTTGAAACATCTGAACCACAAGGGATACCTCACAGAAAAGATAAAATACAAAACATGGCTTTTAAAAAGGGTTAGGATTAGATGTAAGCTATACAAAAGCAGTGAATTTCTTGAAGACATTAAGTACAATTTTGAAGTTCTAGTTTTTTGTTCCTACAACCTGAAGTACAGGTTTAATATGAAAACCGATTCATTTCAAATCTCTTTTATTTGACTCACTCACAGCTACCTGTGTATAGCTCTCTGTTGATGAATTTGTGCAAGGTTGTTGAATTTGAGTGCGAAGAGTTTTATTGTGTCAGTGGCAGTTTATATCTGCACGTGTGAAACAATATAATTTGCTTCAGAAAATAAATCTGACTCCACGTCCGCTGTTATTTCAGAGATATTTATTTTCTAAACTGCAGATAGATTTAGTTAAAGTAAATGTGCAGATTCAAATTATAGCAAAACATACTTGAACTCAAAGTATAATTGCTGTACTTTTTTTCTAACCACACATTGGTTGGCTATATTACTTGCTCCATTTGTTTTCTTGATATTTTTTGTAGCATTTTGATATTATTGTTGGGAGATGATATTCTATGTCCTACGGGAGTTTAAACTATATACCTGTAAATATTAACATAGGCTACTTGTCCAACGTCATAATAACATTTGTGACATTTTTGGATGTAGGTAGCCTAGATTTAGATCTCCATCAGTTTTATTCAAATAACGAAATGGCATCTTATCTGCAGACACAATGTCGAGCGACCTGTTCTTCTGTTTTTGTAAACTACTGACAACATTTAAGTTTGTCTCGGCATAAGGAGTAGGCCTACTCCTGTGTCACTGTTCAGGCTCTTACGCTATCAGCGGTTTTTTATTCCCAGGAATTTGCGAAACCAACGCAGCATGCGACGCGTCCTGCGTAGGCGCTGCTGAGAATGCCGCCTGCCATCGCGATAAATTGTAGAACAAGCGCTAATGCCCATGCGCGCTCTGCAGAGGACGTTGTCATCCTCTTATCCCTCTCTATATAAACATTCCTCAGCATCCATCGATTGATCCATTCTGTCAGTTTTCCTGCAGGTAAGTACAGATTGCATGCGTCAGTGACTACTAGATTTGACAATTCACCAACCCATTGGCGGCTTGTTGATCAGCGGGATCGCTATAAATAGTATTCATCTGCGTAGAAATGCATTTGACACCTGCGTGGACTTAACTTCAGACAAGCATACAGGGTGTCGTGAATCACGCTGTGACAATATTGATTCTTCATGGATGTAAATGATTTGGAGGCTCGAGCGCTGCATCATCACAACAGTTGTGTTTGAGCTCCCCCTTGTGTGGCCTGATGGTTGATGATGAGGCTTGTTTTCAAAGAGGGGGACCGACGAATGACAAATCTCTTGTTTGCATCTGTGTCCACGTTGTTCGTAGATGAAACATTCGGGGTTGTCGTCAAAGGAGACGATGTCCTCCACTGTCCTATTCACTGCCCTTTTTGCCCTTCCTCTCGCTGTGGGTGAGTTATTGAATATTATATTGGTACCCCTTTAAATAATGCATAATTGCAATACATTGCAATTAATGGCTTGAATAACTTTCTATTTATAATTAAAGAGAAGGTTTTTACATCACAGCCAAAGCTAGTCATGCGAAATGATAAATGTCAAAAAGGTCTTTTAAAGGCATGACCTGGAAACTCTCAACATAAAACTACAACTTTAATTAGTAGGGTTTGTACTTTCTGTAAGGAAGCTAAGATTTCCATCAAAATGCTTTTAATTGTATGGACCACCCATAGTGGCTTTCTGGTTTACAAAAAATCCTTTCTTAGGAAGTTAGGATAATTGCATTCTATTTTATAGCAGTCATATAGTGTAAGTTTAGCTTTAGATTTTGGAATAGAGTGTAAAATAAAGGTGGGCCATCCACTGTGTTGTGTTGGAATTAAAGGTTCTTTATAACCTGCATAAGATGTTACCATATGCAATGAAAAAAAAAAATTGGTCCAAGAATGAACCCTTGTGGTACTCCATAGTTAAACTGGACAACAGAAGAATATGAGCTTCGGAGAAAGTTCAATTGGATAAAAATGATAGTGGCAGGCTTATGGCTGAGGCCAGGGAAGTTACGAGGCAATTAAGGAGGTCAGTTATTACAATAAAATCTATTTACCCTTTACCAATTAAGCTGGTAAATCGATTTGAAAGTTGTAATAGAATTTCCACAGTCAAATAACATTGGTGTGACCTAAGCATAGCTCTGTATAATACTATTTATAATCATATTTATTTTGCTCTCAACACAGGTTGGGTTGTACTGGGTGAGTCAAATGCAACATTTCATCACACATCCTTCATCTACAAAACACATTCCCCAAGGAGGTTGCAAAGTTTTTCTATTTCCCTTAACAGGTGAAAAAGAAGAAGCCCAGAGTGTGTGTTCCGGGAAGGAATTTCGTCTGCCTGTGTACTCTACATCCAGAATGGTTACTTTTACGCCAAACTCAGAGGGAGAGAGACGCACCTTGCTGGACAGGACAAATGTGAGTGGAAAAGTCAGTCTCAGCTTTTGATTCTGTTAGTATAATGTGCATTCAGATTGTCAAAAAACGCTTTACTGTACAACTGCAGGTGAAGGACCCACGGTTCGAGTGGACCAGAGATAAGATGCTAGTCCTGAAAGAAGTGACTCATGATGATCAGGGACTTTATTCCATCAAACTTGCCTCTGGATTCACCTATGAGACTGTTCGATTGACTGTTTCAGGTACAGAAGTTTCTCCTGTTTTGTGAAATCCCCCCCCTGTAGTTTTGCCTCAGCTGCCTCCATTACACATAAAAGTCCTTTATTCAAAATCAAACCAAAGGAAATGTATTTAATCAAGTATAATCTGCAAGTAATGCACTTCAAGTATCGAAGTAGTTGTTCTACAAGAACATTTTCTCAGCTTAAACAACTAAATGTTGTTGTTATAATTAGGTTTTGGCAATTTTTGCAGCACATTTTTTGTTTGTGTACATTGAGTTTATGATGCCTTTAGTGTTTCCCCCAGTTCCACTTTCTAACAGTTTGTACAGCAAACCCTCGTGCCAAATTGAGTCAAACTTTTTTTTTTAAAGTGGAAGCAGGAGAATAATTTGCTACTCTTTAGTCTATTCGGTTGTCGGTTAGGGTGCTAAGAGTGAAAACGTGGTCTGTTGTGCGATACTTTGGTAAAAAGCCAATTTGTGATTTCTTTAAGGACGTTATTTTCGGTGAGGAAATGAAGGAGTCTGTGGTTTATGAACATACAGAAGATTTTTTCCAGGTTGCTGTTGACACAGATCCCACAGTAGTTATTGGGTTTGTCTCAACTTTTGTGGAGTGCCGTTATTAGTCCTTGGTTTCCAAATATTGCGGAAGATCCCGAAACTGAGGAGAGATTTAGAATAGCCAGCTGGAATTTGAGGTCTGTAAACGTTCTCATTTCGTTTAGGATGCCATCAACACCACAGGCCTTTTCAGTTCCTAGTGACTTTGTTTATCTTGTTTTTTTTTCTGCTCTATTGGGCCAAAAAGGTTAGAGAAGTGGTTTATCCATATGTCTACATTTTGGATCGGAAGGTCCTTGTGTTGTTTTGCATTTTTCAATTTTCCCAGAAGTGGTTTGTTTGAATGGATCCTTCAACAGAATTTAGTTGGCTTCTATGTTGGTCCCTTTTTCTCCTTCACATATTTTTATACTGTTTAAAGTATATGTAGTATATGTTTTTTCACTGTTTCTCTCTCTCTCTCTCTCTCTCTCTCTCTCTCTCTCTCTCTCTCTCGCTCTCTCTCTCTCTCTCTCTCTCTCTCTCTCTCTCTCTCTCTCTCCTGCTTCAGAATGCATCAAGTCTTACAACAGAAACTATGGGGAAAACTTTGAGTACCAAATCCCTGAAAATGGTTCCTTGCTGGAGTTTTTACCCAGGGGTGCTCCACCTGAGGCCATGCCCGTTGTTCTGTGGAACAAGACAGACCTGGCGACCAGCAATGTGGGGCGAGGGCGGCTGCTGAGGGGCGGGAAGGTCTGGGTGGCAGAGAGAGTGAGGCAAGCTGACCAGGGCAATTACACCATCAGGGACGACAAGGGGAAGGCCTTGTCCCGCAGCACCCTCACTGTCCGCGGTGAGCAGAGACAGAAAACCAAAGGATGAGTTGAATAAAGCTGACTGTTTCATTTCTTTAACTATAGGACCATGTCAAGTGTCAAATGTAACATTTATATTTATCTTTCCCTTTCCATTTGACACCCTCATATTTTCCGTCCTTCTCCCCTCCTGTTCACAATCCTGCATACTGATGCAGGGCACTCCTTCAATGTCACCCGCTTCACCAGGGAGTCTCTAAACCTGCCCCTCTTTCTTCCTGTCCCTCATGCCCATCTCATTTTTACCCCCCACCGATACCCTGATGAATCCTCCCTGGGCCCCTTTGACCCTAAGCCTCCCCGAGGCCCGGTGCAGCTGATCCGCGAGGGCCACATAACGGACTACGACATGCGCTACAGGGGCCTTATCTCTCTTGGTAGAAATGGCAGCATCAATGAAGTCGTCATAGCAAGGCTGACCTCAAGGCATGATGGCGTCTACGAAATAAGAGACGGAGATGGAAACCTGGTATCCTCCACTATGTTGCAGGTGATTGGTGAGTGACTTAAAAGGTTTTTATTTTTTTCATATTAGACTTTTTTTGTTTTGTTTGTTCTTTTGCTTATTTTTCATTCACTCTGAGATCTGATGATGTCTCTATCTCTCCAGAAAAGGGAGGCAGATGGCGAGCGCTTCTCAAATCCATCACAGTTCCTTCGGGTATGTTAGTATCACTGGCTGGTTTCTTGCTCTTCATGAGGAGATACCCGAGCTGCAGCCTCTCGCATTTCATCGCTAGCCTCAGAGCAAACCGCCCGCTCCCAAACAACCCTCCAAGGGTCAACATCCAGGTGAGGAAATCAGGAGAGCCTGTTAAGTGGCACTCCCAAGTGAGATAGTTCTGAAGGTAGGAGAAATGCTGTTGGAGGTCTTCCTTTTATTTTTTTGAGTTGTGCCCTCAGTTTAGTGCTTACTGGGTTTAGCCTGATTCAAAAGATTTCGATCCCCACTTTTCATTTGGGCGGCAGTAGCTCAGTCTGTAGGGACTTGGGTTGGGAATCGGAGGGTTGCCGGGTCAAGTTCCGGCACGGACCAAGTCCGGAAATCGTTCTGGTAGCTGGAGAGGTGCCAGTCCACTTCCTGAGCACTGCCGAGGTGCCCTTAAGCAAGGCACCGAACCCCAAAACTGCTCTGGAGAGCTCGCTGTGGGCAGCCCCCTCACTCTGAGACCTCTCCATTAATGCATGTCCATAGGATCCTGTTTTGTGCATGTTTGTGTGTATTTCGGCCTATGTTTGTGTAGCATGTTCATTAAACAGAGTGTAAAAAACAAAATTTCCCCTCGCAGGATAAATAAAGGATAAATTATAATTATTTATTATGATTATTTTTCAATCTTGTATAGTTTAGTGCTGTACCATTTTAATAGAGTTTAACATGGAAGTGTTTACTTGTCCAGTCCAGAGCAAGCTTCTTCAAGAAATTATCATATTAAAATGAATACATTAAATAATAAGTTTATAATCAATACACTCATGCTGGATGGGCAAGAGGAGTATTGGTGGTTATTATTAGAACATGTGTGTCGTGTTGAACGTTTGAGAGATTAAATAACTATGTGATATTAACAAGACTCTACCTCTTTTTAAATCCAGGACTTCAAAGTTTAATGCTTATGTGATATAATCCATCTCGTAAAGTTTGCATCTCTGCATGTGTTGTATAAGTAAGACTCCATTTGAACACGTGTCATTTCGGCAGTGTTAAGATTTGTATCAAGTAAGATCAAGTGTCCTCCGAAGCCTTTAGTTAAACCTGCAAGAGACACATTAAGATCCTTGTTAATATGTTATATAATCTCATACATAATCCTAATATCAACATTGAACCATCATCTTTAAGTGAATTCTAATCCATTGAAAATCCTTCATAAATGCATCTTGATGTGGATCATTGCTTTGTTTTTTTAAATAAAAACACAGAGGTTACTTAAAACAGACACACCACAATTACAAATGGTAACAGGTGACTAAAAATAAAGATTCAGCCCAGTGGAATACCTGTTGAAAATAATATAAAAAAAATCTTTTGGAAATGCCTTTCATCCCTCTAGAGGTCCATACACGTGTACTACTTATGATTAGGATGTAATGACATCATCGCACAAAACATGAAGAAAGCAGGTGAGCTAGTTTCACTCATGACTGATTATTGAAGCAACAAATCAGCGGTGATACCAAAAGAGAAATGATGACCTTCAGCAACAGAACAAAGACAAAGAAATACCCAAGATTCATGAAAAGTGCTCAATAGTTTTGGCCTTGTTTCCCCTCCCTTTGTTTCTACATTGTTGTTACCAAAAAAAAGCACTTAGCAAGTTTTATGTGTCATTGTTTGTTTTTCTGCGCAGGACTACAGCCAGCCCAGCCCTCAGCCGTCCTCCCTCTACGGTCACGCTCAGCATCCTGGAACACCAAGAAAGTGGACCCCAGGAGCCAGTCCCACTCACACTGTACGTCTGATTAACGGTTCTCAAAGAATCAAGCAGGTTTTCCCTCCCAGGCAAAACTGTTAAAATAACGCTAACATGCTGCTGTTTGTTCTGCCAGGGTTATAGTCCAGTTATGGCGGAAACACCAAGATCTCAGAACCAAGAAGCAAACAGGCTCACACCTCGGAGCTCCCCTTGTCATAACTCAACCCCTGAGGTAAAACTACAATTCAGCCATCACTATCCAAATGTATTTACATTTTTTTTTAACATTTTTTTTTTTGTAGCAGGATACATCTAATGAAGAAGAGAGGAGGATTTCCTTTTCTGTGCCCGGGGCGTCAGACTGCCTCCATTCCTCTGAGGACTGTGCCCAATTCCAGATCAAAAAAGATGGAAACAAAGAAAGATGGAGCAAAACACAAGAATACTTTTCAACACTGCCGCTGGACACTGACACGTCGGAGTCCTGCAGCGTTTATACTTCTGAGAAACTAAACTTCTTGTAAAAAGGAAAATGGAACCGGAACCAAGAAAGGTAGGAGAGATAAGACATTGAGAAACCACAAAGTGGATTCTCAGGTGGAGAGACAGTGATGTGGAAAAGTGAGACCTCACTTGTGCCTTCTTGTATTTCAGCCTAAATTTAATGGCTTGGTACCAATATTGCATGTCATCTTAGCATTAGCTGTTGTGTTTCCTGTTACATATTTCCTCACACTGTTGATGGTGCTCCGAAAACCTTCCTGCTGTTTCCTACCTCCAGACCCTCAGGACCAATGTTATCTGCACTGTATTGCTGAGTATGTGTATGTCTGTGAGAAGAATGTGGCCTCTAGAGCTTTGTAGAAATACGAGTTGTGATACAAACATGTGCAAAAGGGAATTCTTAAGTACTGTACAGTTACAGAGATGTTTTTCTCCATCAATCAAGTCAGCCGCTCCTTACTGCATCACCGCTTAATAATCAAGTTTGTTCTGCAGTTTCATGATATATAGTATTAGTCCCTCAAGGTAATATGAATGCTAATTTGTACAAAATGTTCCTCTCCCATTACGTGTTCTACCAAATATTGCAGTAGGTCATTAATCTGTGAACTTCGTGTACAGGATGAGGACTCAGTACCAACCAGTATTTCTAATGACAGAGAGGTTGAACTGTATCTAGAGACATTTTAGGATTACTCAAATGTGTTCGCTTTAAGAATAAAATGTATCTTTCACACACATGTTGGATGATTTCCCCCCCCCTCCAATAGAATTAATTCCTTGCGGTGATTGTTTTTTAATCTTAGATAAATCAGTGTAAAAAAAAAAAAAAAACTGTCGATGGGGAATCCTTCTATATTCAGCTTTATAACAGAACATGAAACAAAAAGCCATTTTAGAAGTTGTAAACAAAGACTATTTATTTTTCCTAATTATTTACATAAACCATGAACAAACTGTCGTCTTTACATTTTTTTTTTTTTTTTTTACATCTACAAAGACGTCCTTTTAGTAGTTTTCTGCATGGCTGCAGTCTGGAACTTCTCGTCTCATGCCCTCTCACCCGGTGCCCTGAAGCCCCAGGAGCGTCGTGAGCTTTTCATTTTCAACATAAAAGCTCGCGCCTGGTTGGTGCTCTACAGGGTTACGGCAATCATGCTATTGAATTATCACAAAAAAAAAAAAAACTAAGATACAGTATGTCTCTCAAAGATAAATACATATATTTAGTAACAATATGCATACAATAACCCATTGAACTGATTGTGGACTCCTAATGACATTTTCAGTTAAACTGTATTAACATACAATTATAAGCTTTTCTTTGTAAATTACACACGACACAAACAGTCTTCTATTCAATCTACTTTTTTTCTAAATTGAGGGCTTATTTCGCAGAGATCACGGTCATGTTATATCCCTGGTGTCGTGACAATGACCCAAGCTGGCGAATTATATACAGAATCCGGGCTGGAGCCGACTTCCCACACGCTTCTTTTCATCTTCTCAATGCTTTGTCTTTCTTTTTTTTCATTGTGGTGATGAACCATGTTTCGCACCAGAAAAACGCAAGCTGACGGCGACATGTTTTTCAGGAAGTAATCGTTCTTCCTCATCTCTGTGAAGAACTGTTCTGCTACTTTGCTGTCGAGCTGACCTGCTAGCTCAGGTACAAGATCAATCCTCCTGAGGATATCCTTCTCATCTTTGCCGTTGTCTTCATCTGGCTTGTCACACAAAACATAACGGTGAGATGATTTGGTACATGGATGACTGTCATCTTCAACATTTTCAGTGTTCGGCTCTAAAATCCATGGAAGGTGGATCTTCAGTGTTCGGTCCTTGGCGGCCTGAATGTTCTCAGGAGTTGGAGGAGCAAGACGGCCTTCGTGTGGCTGGAATGGTAGATTTTCTGGCTCTCTGCCACTGGTGTGGTTCACAAGAGCTTGTGCTGAGTCGTAGACTGATACATTGGGCAGATGTTTCCACGCCAGCAGCATATCTGCAAAGTCTCTGGGGCCTTCTGCTCTAATGTTGAACTTCAAGCTGTACACTATGCCGCAGGGACACATGATGGCAGCCAAACCACCTGATGAATAGAAAATAATTAAACCATTAGCAGCAAGAAGTACAATAAGAACGGTTAATATTTATTTACAGCAATGGCAAGAGATCGCATTAAACTGAAAAACCAAGAAAAATGCAGCGGTCTCACCTGAAGCTCCGCAGATCTTCTCAAACACTTTGTTGCAGTCCTGTTTATTTTGCATTTTGGTCCTGAGGCGCAGAATGAGATCTATCTTGGAACCATTAGAGTCGACACCACATTCCTTACAAAGTGTACGCACTGCGTCCACCTGTGTAGGTCAAGGGAAAGAATAGATACTCAAAACATGTTTTGACAGTGTGTAATATTGTCTATTGGCCTATTGATGTGATTTAAATGTATTCAATTGCTTCCAAAAGCTACTTTGCTTCTCTACTTCCATAAAACTGTCCTGCTCTTTCAGGTCTATAAACAGAGAAATAACCATATTAGAGTCCTTAGTGAAAAGAAACAAAATAAAGGGTTAAACAAAGTGTGTGAAAGACATACCTTCAAATTCATCAGTTGATTTGTGAGTCTGTCTTCTGTTACGTTGATGTCGTCTGCTCCGCCAGAGCTTTTAAAAACTCTGTGTTAAGCACTATGTCGGACCTTCGTGTGCCTTGCCCAATCCAAGGAGCCCAAAAATGATAGCTGGGATGGACTGTAAACGGATTGTTGCTGTCACCTGTTAGTCAGAATGAAAAGTCGGAAAACCAATTCAGCAAGGTTCATCAGGTGGGACGAATGTCTTTTACATATTTACATAGTTGTTAAACATCAGTTTCAGATAAAGAACAAGATAAGCTTTTTGTTGATGTGTTTCAGTTGGAAGCACAAATTTAATCTGTCGGATTTTGATGCCGTTTCTACTGAACTGTAAATAGAAAACTACAACAACAACAACAACAAAACACAGAATTACACTTACTCGACGTGAGTCCCCAGGCAATCATCTCCGCGGAAACACAATCCCAGAAATCTTCACTGTTCACGTCCCCTGTGAAATCCCCCGGGACCGGCTCTATATCACCGACTTAAGACAGACAGACACAGCCACACAACAAAGTGTCATAACAATCTCAACGTCAGTGTTTAAAAAAACAAACAAAACAAAAAAAAACGTGTAAATTATTATGACACAATTAAAGACACTTACACGGCATGCTGAACACCCCCTTTTCGTGGCGATCCATCACCACTACAGATGGGAAGTATCCACAGTTCACACAATAATATTTATATTCATGTGCCGTGAGAGCTTCAAAATGCAAATACGCATGAAGAAGCCGATCCCTGCTTGGCAACGGGGTCTTAAAAGTTTCTTCTAGGGCATCAAAAACTTGACCGACAGCTGTGTGAGCCTACAAAGACAAAAAGGTTGAATAAAGCATTCTCTGTACAAAGGCACACTGCTTCATTACATGATGTGTTCAATGAATGTACAATATGCAAACTGTATACCTGCAGCGAGTTCCGTAGGAAGATGCAAAGATTTAAGGTCAAAATGACACTGTCATCGAAGTTATGCAAACCATCGTGATACTCCTGGTATCTGTACAGCATCCCACATTTGCTACATTGTTTGCAGTAAGTGTTGACACCTGAGAGGAGAGAGGAGTGGGGGGGAGGGGGGGGGGGGGGGTCAGTCTTTTCGGGAGTTGACAAAAGACACGTTAACAAAAGCCAAATAGATTATACTTTACCTTTCTGAACACCAGTCAAAGACACAATCTGCGCTTGACTCGTGATGAGAATCGGTGGGCCAAGAACGGTGTCTTCTGGACATGTAGAGCACAACGTTTCCAGGGGGAAAAGCTGCACTGGGTATCCTTCTTGTTGGACAGAAAGGACATCATCAGGTAAAACAGCTGGGTACCTTTTCGAAGAGTGAATGTATGAGACCATTCTCTGCAGTTGGTCATCTTCAGGAGGATATGCGATGCCCATATTTTCAGCTGATGGTTCTTGTTCACTTATGTCTGACTTCATCTCCGTGCTCGGTTCCTTTCTGAAGAGATGCACATGTGTCTCGAATAAATGCCATTTGGCCATATATTTGTGAATGCATGAAGAGCTTGGCTTTGTACACGGGCAGTGCCAAGTGTTCGTTCTTTTGTCATAAGTGACGATGACTCGTCCTAGCCGGACGCAGTAGCTTACAGATGGCTCATAGACTGATACAAACAGTTTGTGCTCTGACTTCATGCTGACATCGACAGACACCGGCACATTGGCAGTAGCTGCCTGTGACTGGAGCTGGAGACACTGCTGTTTCTCTTCTTCTCCAAACCACATCTTTTTCACCATCTCGTTTATTTTTTCTTCTTGCAGTACAGTCTGGACGGCATTTTCTTTACAGTAGTCCAGAGAGCGGACATGATGACACTGAAATGTCCTCATGCCCACCCTTACCGCAAAGGCACAGGCCTGTATGCACTCGTTGGAATCGCATTTAACTTTGTGCTCTTTCCCCCAGGTTTTCTTTTGCACATGGAGAGGCACAAATGGTTCAAGAAAAGACTTCCTCACTGCATAGATACCATTCTCTTCATCTATGCAAACAGCATCCAGATGGGAATGTGCAGTGATGTCTTCCACGGCCTTGTCAAGGTGTCTCCTATATATATGTTTTCTTATATTTTTTTTCATCATTGGCACTTCACAATGTGGACAAAGCACAGTTGCTGGCTTCCCTCCCCCCACTCTGCAGGCAGGGTTGTCATGGCCAGATGGCTTCCTGCGGCCAGCAGGTAGGGGTGTACCTTCCTGTCTTTCCGGAGTGACAGCCTTCTGTTTCTGGTCTGGCTTTGTCGTGGTCCCTTGACCAGACCTTGAACTTGTTCCTCCTTAAACCGAGGCACATTCTGTGGGTTTTTGGGTCTCTTTGCCGGAGGCCCCTCAGCGGACGCCTACAGGTTTGAATATGCCTCTCTGAATCCTGCCGCCTCACTATAGTCCGTTTGCAGAAAGGGCAGTGGAAGTGGCCGCTGCTTCCATTCCTGCAGTCCTGGTGGCATTTTGTGATGTAGAAATCTGTGAAGGCACAAGAGCATGGTGTTTACCCTGTGAGCAAAAGTAAATCACTTCATTAAGAGTAAAGTAACGTTACTATTGGTGAGCCCGTGCACTTAGTAGTAGTAGTGGTTGCAAACAAACAAACAAACAAGTGATCATGCTGATAGAGGGAACTAACCTTCGTATTCAACAGCATTTTTTACATGCACCGCAAAGTGCTTCAAAACCTGTGACTTACAGCGGGGTTTATACATTGCAGGGGGGCAAAGGGGGCAATGGTAGCGTAAACAGCACACCGTGCATCTTGTCACCTGTGGTCTGCTAGATTTTTTGAAAACACTGATGTGTACCTTTAGGAAAAGAATACAAACAAAACAATCAAAGGCTGCAAAATCATACTTTTTTTTGGCTCGCTAATGTAAGCCAACAGACTCCTGAGTTGAACGCTTTCAAGTGGTGCTTTGATCGCATGTAAAACTCAAAATTGAATTCTCACTTACTTTTGACTCCATTTTGAAAACCCAGATTTTTCATTTCCGTTCTCTCGTGGACCCTCGTTGCTCGCGCGAGCGCCCCCTGGTGCTCTGGACCAGAGTAGCTGATGATGATGATGATGATGATGACAGGAACCAGTCATAAAATAATGATTGTTGTAGGATTTGATAGCGACATTGACGTTTAATACGATATGACTATATTGACTTTGACAGTCTGAAAGGCTAAACAAATCATCTGAAAGCTGATGATGTTTACATTACTCTATATTTTATATTTTGTACATTCAAATAATTCTTTTTTTCTTTTTTACATTATATTCTATTTGATTGTATATATGTGTATTAGTAATTTGAGTGTTTATTGCATGGCCTTGTGGAACAGTCCTTACATTTCACTGCACATCTGTATGAGCATGTGACAAATACAAATCTTGAATCTTGAATGGCTTGTTGGATGTTTTTCACCCCTTTGTTATTAAATGAAGACGTAGGCTACTGATAAAAATCATAGTTTCATCAAGTGCATTAAAATAAACTTAAACAGAAGAAGAAAGTGAAACATGTTCAGGCCTTAGTTTTCAGAAATAGCCTAAAGCAGGGACGGGCAACTTTGGTCACAGCGAGGGCCACATTCATTAAATTCTCACTGCTGGGGGGCCAAATTGTAGGATACAAAAACGATTACAGTCGATTATGTCTCAAATTTAACTCAACATATACCAGTGATCAAATATTATCATGGACATATTTCTGCTTTTCATGATTTCATTGCAGATTTTGTCATGTTTTTCTTCATGTTTCCAATTAATTGATATGTCAAAATTGACATATCATATCAGTTTCCCACCCCTGGCCTAAGGCAACATGGACTGTCCAAAATCTGTCTGTCAGCTACATTGAATCAGCTGTTGCCTACTATCTTGTTTTACTCGTGTCATCTTTTAAACTTTAGAACTAAACTGTGCTGAATGTATGTCTTGTCTCTCTAACGACTAACTATGCTATCTGTTCAGAAGAATGGCTGATGCAGACGCACAGGGTCTAAGGTCTAAACCTGGTCTAAACCTGGTCTAAACCTGGTCTAAACCTGGTCTAAACCTGGTCTAAACCTGGTCTAAACCTGGTCTAAACCTGGTCTAAACCTGGTCTAAACCTGGTCTAAACCTGGTCTAAACCTGGTCTAAACCTAAACCAGTGAGAAAGACGCCAAGCAGGACAAAGGAGCAGGGAACTTAAGGTGCATTCATGTAGTGTTGGACACATCGGAAAAACGAGTTTCCCAGTTTTAAAATGCACATGAACACCTTTCTCAAGTCGGAACAACTCGGAAACTCTGAAAAGAATTAGGTGCCCGACTTGACGTTAAAATCGTCATCAAACGGGGGGGGGGGGGGCAAAATGTATTTTTGTTCATGTTAAAATACTTTATTACTACTTTTTTTACTAAATACTATACTATACTTAATACTACTTTTTTTTTTAATGAATTCGCGTATAGCACATCAACTATTTGCTCAGATATAACTTTTAACAGTTACATTTCACTGATCTTCTTCGTGGCATCGACGCTTTTTTTTGTCGGAGTGTTGTAACAACAACACTCCGACTTTCAGAACTGAAATCACGTGAACACACCACGGAACACACGAAGAACGACTTCCTAAACTCGGAAACTAGGGACCATCCGAGCAGCACTGGAATGCAGCATTATTCACTCAAACAAAACCATTTATAATAAACCTTTTAACTGTCGTAGGCATTTATTTATTGAGCAGCCTAAATCGGGTATATCTAATTTGTCGGTAAACTGTGTGACCGACGGGCTTTTTGGTGAAGCGAACAGCGCAGTCGTGCTTTCCGCCGGTAGTGGCGCTAGAGCACCAGTGAGTCTTTGCGCGCAGAGACCGAAGAAGAAGCTCCGTTTGTAGCGGCAATGAAAGGACAGCGTGCCACTACTAATATAAGTGAAACATAAGTTAAGTGTACATTAACGATCATTACTACAGAAGTACGAGACGAGTTTAATTCCATCTACAGCCGCAATTGTTAGGACTGCGTCGGGAAGATGTCCTTGTTTTGTGCAAGTAAGTGAAGTTAAAATTCATTCATGTGACGGAGCCAGTGTAGGTTAGCGATACCGCGCTAATGCTACTAGCTAACTCAGATAACGTTAGCGGCCATGCAGTGCCGCCTTCTACTCGGTGATAGTAGATCGGGGGTGTCGTTGTGTTTTGTTGCATCAGGTGGGATATTAATTTTGTACGTACTTTTTTTTATTTTTTACTCAGTTTCCAACGAGGTGCCGGAGCACCCGTGCGTCTCTCCGGTGTCCAACCAGGTGTTCGAGCGCCGGCTGATCGAGAAGTACATCGCAGAGAATGGGACGGACCCGATGAACGCACAGCCCTTGTCTGAGGAGCAGCTCGTAGATATCAAAGGTGTGTGTCTCTAGAGGACCGGCTGCTACTCTAATCTAAATGTATTTATTTGGAAACGTAACATCTTTTTTTTTTTTTTAAAGTCAAAGAGTTAGTCAAAAGATAGTCCTGCAGTAAATACCTGCATAGGTGAGTGTGTATTATACTGATACACCTTTAAAACTTCATGATGGCAGTATTATTTGTAGTTTTTTTTTTTTTTTTTATATGGAAAGGCATCAGTTTTAATCATGTGTACTTAGTATTATGTATACTTATAGAAGCCATAATAAATGATCTGTTTAGCAATTATTTGGATATTAGTTCATAACTATCATAAACTAAGATTATAGTAAAATATTCCCTCACAGCATTTCCACGCTTGGTTGTATTGCTTATGTTGATCTAAAAACACTCAAATGTCCAGTTTATCATGTGGCAACATAAAAAGGAGCTTATCCTCGAGCCCGATAAGACAGAACAAGTGTGATGCTGTTGTTGCTTTGAACGTGAATTAGTTATCACAAATTAATCAGGAATGTTATATTTACCTCTTGTTCTTGTAAGTGCAGTAGTGATTATAATTTTAGCTTTAGTGATGCACAAAGGTTTGCTTTGGCGCCTGCCTGATGAATCCTCACGAGAGACTGCTTTCATTTGAACTTGTGCAACTTTTCTTTTTGTTTAGTGTCCCATCCTATTAGACCAAAGGCACCGTCCGCAACAAGCATTCCTGCCATTCTCAAATCACTTCAAGATGAGTGGGTAAGTCTAGCTTTAAACTGAGGCACAGTACATCCCACTAATGCACAAGAAACTGTACTCTACAAGTTACCCAGGTTTTGGAATAAACTGTTAACTTTATCTATCTAAACCCTGTCGACAGTAAAACTTAACTGGAGCATATTTAGAATGACTCTTCATTAAGTTGACCATAATGCAATACATATCCTGCCATTGCTCTGTTATCTTCTGACATGTACAGTACTCAAAAAATAAAACGTGTTGCTCCATATTGTTTTATTATGAGGAGAGTCAATTAATGTAAATGATCCATTTTTTTTTTTTGGTCCTTGTGAATTACAAGTTTAACAATTACGCGAAGAGTTCCCTCATCTTGCTTTCATCCTCTTTCCTGCTCTAGGATGCTGTTATGCTTCACAGTTTTACTTTGCGGCAGCAGCTGCAGACAACTCGCCAGGAACTGTCACATGCCCTCTACCAACATGACGCCGCCTGCAGAGTCATCGCTCGACTCACAAAGGAGGTCACTGCTGCAAGAGAAGGTGGGTTTGCAGCCGCTCGTGTTCCCACATTGCAGGACATAAGTCCGCTTGGAAAGCACACTGCTTTTATATGATCACCAACTCTCTGCGTAATATGTTACACGACAACAGAAGCACATTGTGTCAGATCATGTTTTTTATTACAGGTCTTTTTCTCATTTCCAGCCCTTGCCACACTGAAACCCCAAGCTGGATTGGTTGCCCCTCAGGCAGTCGCTGCCTCTCAGCCAGCTGCAGTAGTGAGTGACTGACTTTTAATTCTGGTCAAATAGATCCTGGACAAAATGCTCTTCAAACATTTTACAATCCCTCACCAAACCTTTCTGTGTTTGCCTTCTGTATCCCAGGGTGCTGGTGGAGAGCCTATGGAGATTAGTGAACAGGTGGGAATGACCCCAGAGATTATCCAGAAGGTAAGATCATTTTCTTAGACATCATTATTTTGCTGTAAGCTATCCATTCCTCTCAAAAATAAAAATTGTGTTATAACATGTCATTTTCCTGTGTGCAGCTCCAAGACAAAGCTGCCATCCTCACAACAGAAAGAAAGAAGGTATGTTATTGCTTTTACTAGCTTCATCACAAATTTCTACTAAAATATGTTGACGCGCTTTCTTTAATGTTTTACTGTGCAATATAGTGTCACATTTCTTAAACTGTTTACTGTCTTTCTCTAGAGAGGAAAAACCGTCCCAGAGGAGCTGGTTAGAGCTGAAGATCTCAGCAAATACCGCCAAGTGGCTTCACATGCTGTAAGTAGAGAATTGTCTTTCTGGGTTTAAACTACATGTTTAGTTCAAATCACATGGTTAAAAGAGACGAGTACTTTTTGTGTAATGATTGTCAACATGGTCTCTTTGTTGCCTTCAGGGTCTTCATAGTGCCAGTGTTCCTGGTATTCTGGCTCTGGATCTGTGTCCCTCAGACACCAGCAAAGTTCTTACAGGTATAATATTTTTGTTCAACGCTTAGGTCAATATTTCAGTTTCCTAAAGGCTTATGAGCTGGTTTAAGGTCATTATTTAATATGAACTCTTTTATTGTCTTCAGGTGGAGCTGACAAGAATGTGGTGGTGTTTGACAAGAACGAGGAGCAGATTGTTGCAACCCTTAAGGGTCACACCAAGAAGGTCACCTCTGTCATTTACCATCCATCCCAGGTAACTTTTTGTTGTTTGACCTCAACCTGTCAAATCGATCTGCAGTAAATAAATCCTTTTACTCTCCAGAAAACAACGTTTAAAGGATCTGCTATGACTGATCTGTTTTTCAATCCCTTGTTCCTCTCTAGTCCGTGGTCTTCTCTGCATCTCCAGACAACACCATCCGTGTGTGGTCCGTCACCGGGGGCAACTGTGTCCAGGTGGTTCGTGCCCACGAGGGAGGTGTCACTGGACTCTCCCTTCATGCTACTGGGGACTACCTGCTCAGCTCCTCTGAGGATCAGGTGTGTGAGCTGCATGATGAAATCCCGACAAACCTCATGCCATTTTTTTTTTTTTACACTGAAGTCCAAGTGATCTTATCCCTGGTTTGCTGAGTAACCACTAAACTTTTTCCCGATGTTCCCTTCTCTGCAGTACTGGGCCTTTTCCGATATCCAGACTGGTAGAGTCCTCACTAAAGTTACTGACGAAAGTGCTGGCTGTGGTGAGTGCCTCAATGTTAATGTGTTGTTTGCAGTCTGAAGAATCCTCATTTCCAGGTAATAATTATTTCCCCCCTTACAGCTCTCACCTGTGCTCAGTTCCATCCTGATGGTCTAATTTTCGGCACCGGTACGGCTGATTCTCAAATCAAGATCTGGGATCTGAAGGAGCGCACCAATGTAGCCAACTTCCCGGGTCATTCCGGTCCTGTCACCTCCATCGCTTTCTCTGAGAATGGTTACTACCTGGCCACAGGTGAGAGATACTGAAGTATTTTAAGTGCTATTCTTAAAACGTGGGTGTGTTTCAAGGGACTTGGGTTTATCCAAAGACTGAGATCACTTCTTTCTGAAGACTATTCACTTAATCAAATCCATTTTCTACACAATTTGTGCAATTTTTCTTATTTATGGTTTACTATCACTATCTTTCTTACTGTATTTAATTATTGTCAGTTTTTTATGTACATTTTGCGATCTGTTGCTTGATTACTTTTGGTCTCTATTGTGAGCTTATGTAACAACTAAATTCCCTCTATGGGGCATCAATAGGGTCTGTCTCATGTTTCTTAGCTTACCTGTACACTTGCCTATAATTTCTTGAAATTCACTTTCATCATTAGCTCTTGATTTTGCACTAGGGGGACCTAAACTGAATATAGATGTTCATTTAAATATCTTAAAATCCATCTCTGTGTTTGTACTCCAGGTGCCCAAGATAGCTCTGTGAAACTGTGGGATCTAAGGAAACTGAAAAACTTCAAGACCATCACTCTGGACAACAACTATGAGGTAAAACAATGGACCAGTTCTTCCTGTAAAATGAGTAGTGAAGACATTTAAGGAAATGATTTAGTTGTGCAGAGTTCAATGTTGCTGTTGGTACTGTGCCCTCTGACAAACACTGATTATGAAGATAGAGCATGCAGCTTTTCATAGCAGAGAGACTGTTTGATGTCTGGGTACTGGAGTCTTGCTGTCAGGAGAGAAATGAGAAATCAGTGCCACTTGTAAATCTTAAAAACTTCAACTTACACATAAATAAACAAGTAAAGAACCAGTCTCTTTCCCAAATGCTTCCTGTATACGCTCTGATTTAAGAAAGCCACCGTCTGGGTAAGCTCTAATGCATTAGAAATGAAGTGATATTTAGCATTACATCAGTGAGTCAGCTAATAAACATTCTTCACATCACTTATTTGATGGCTTACAGCGAGAGTCTGATAAATCTTTATACAGCAGAATTGTACTTTGAAAGCATATTTACTTGATTCACTTAAAATTGTGTCTTTAGATAGGATTGCAACACTGACAATAAATGGAACAATTGCACAGTTTTACACGTTTGTTATATATGTTTGTTATTCTGTTTCAGGTGAAGTCCCTTGTATTTGACCAGAGTGGTACTTATCTGGCTGTAGGAGGCTCTGATATCCGCGTCTACATCTGCAAGCAGTGGTCTGAGGTCCTCAATTTCACAGGTAAAGAGAGGGGAAATACCTCTTAAATCTACCTTGATTGTTAATCCAGTCTGTGTATTGTACGGTGTTGACTCTTGGGAAGGAGCCCATCTTTAACCATGTTTTTTTGTCTCTTTGATTTTAGACCATACAGGGCTGGTGACTGGAGTGGCCTTTGGAGATAATGCTCAGTTCCTGTCCTCTGCAGGAATGGACCGTAGTCTCAAATTTTATAGTTTGTAGAAATGGGGTAAATTTAGAGTGGCTGGAAGAAGGTGATTGAATGAGACTGCTCTATGTATAAACAGTTGCTGTCTTGAACATTGACCTGTAATTTTATAGAAAAAGAAGTGGAAAAAAAAATCCCTGCTTACTTTGCTTCATTGGTGCATTTGTTCCATAAAATGGTCTGCTATATAAAACCACAGCAGCATGATTAGACTTAATGTTTGTTGGCAGTTTGTCTAAAATGTACATGATGTGAAATGAGATACAAAAGCCAATTTAATTTTAATGTCTGACTTGCCACCAAATATGACTTTACTGTAGTATTTTCTTTCTTTGTGTTTGGTGGGGGGGGGGTCTCAAGTTGAAACAACTTCTAAGCGTTTTCAGAACCTGCTATGACTACAATCTGTTTTGCTTGTTAATGTAGATCAGCTTCATTACAGTATCTTTAGGTTAAGATGAAGAAAACGTGTAGTAGTGAACAGTACAGCTTAGTGGAAAAGAAAAAAAGATTTATGAGATTCATGTTCCTCTTCGCAAACTGTATCCGCCAATCAAATCCCTACAATTGTTTCCGCCTTTTTTCATTTGTTCCGTTGAAGTTTTTTTCTTCCAATTGTATATTATACTTTTCTTGCTATTTTCCCCTTGCAACTCTAACATTTTACAATAAAATATCTTTTCTATTTCCATTGTTTGGTCTCCTTGCCTTCTTTTACTACTGCCTACTGTGCAGCTTGACCCTACAAGACTGTATATGCATCTGCAAAGAAAAGTTTGTTCTCCCCTGAGATTTATGTCAATACCTATACAAAGTTAGATTTTATCTACTGAAACTAATAATTTACATAATTATAAAATATAATATAAAAACAAACTGAAAGCTCAAGTGTTCACCTTTTCTTTTTGTAGAAAAAATATATATTTTTTAGCCAATTTCACGTCGTTTTCGGTGCATTTTTTTTTTTGTATTTTGTGTATTGCTTTTCATCCGTGCTGTGTTGTCCAATATGTTTGGTTTTTTTTACAGCACAGTTCTAGTTAAATGAGAGTCATGCCTTTCATTAGTTCATTATGTTGTCGCTTAGCAACGTCTGTAAAGCAAATTAGCAACTACACACACGATTTATATTAAGTTTTCATGGAAGAAGGATATTCTATGACACTCAGCTAATCTTAAGCGTTTTATAAAAGCAGCGTTTTATATGTTTTTACAATAGACTTGAGGTTTTAAACGCCATCTAGGTCAATGAAACTCTGGACCTCTCGTGGCCAAAATGAGAGACGCACGTCTACCGTCACGTGAGGGAGCCAGTAACGTGACTCAAACGGGAAGTGCGAGCTCAGCCGCGGTGAACTTCTCATAAACACGTCTGGTTTGTCCCGGTTAACAGTAACCGGGCTGACCGTCGACACGGCTACAGAACCAGAGAGAAAGCATTTTGGAGTCCGGTGGAATCAGGGAAGCAGACAGGTGAGAAATGTTAAGCCATTTATTGCATTTCGTGCTCAGATTGTCTTAACACTGACGGAGCGCTATTGTCTTATTGACAGATAATTGAACCCTTGTGATACTTTTGTTCTTTTAAATGACATTTCTCTAACCAGTCGAGACAATCCTCTATGGGGGATGTTGACATTTTAACGTAAACTACTCTTTGTTTGCCAATGTTTAGCTTCATTGTCATGGAGTGCAACTCAAAACGAAACTTGAACCTATTTCTGTGCTTGAGCTCAAAAGAGGTAAAAATAATAGTTATGGAGAAGTTGCTCCAACTTTAAACGACATGTGCATTGTAGAATGATTGTTTTTTTTTTTTAATGTTCAAATTGGTAACACACATTTAATAGATACTCTCAGTTGTTGGTTTGTGTACTTACCTACCTATAGTGGTGCGGTTTTATACAGCTGCCAGTAAAACAATCACCACCTCCATCGGAAGAGTGAAATGTTCAGATTATGTTGGAAAAGGTGTTTATTCAAGTCTGGGTCATTTTGGGGGTTGTTGTTGTTGTTGTTTTAGGTTTTTTTTGACTACATGATATTAAATATAACCCAGTTGTTATCAACAGCATCACAAACTGCAGCCTTCAAAATGGTCACCAAATTAAATAAACCTCTCTGATATAAACCCTGAATATATGACCTTCATGAAGGTAGAATTGACTGCCGAGCTATTCTGTCAAAGTGCAGTACTTTTAGCTGGGTGGCAGTACACAAACTGGCAAATCAAAACTGAGATGATTGAATATTTCTACATATTGCGCTGTTCTTAAGTGGACTGATTTTGCGCCCAGCGGAAAAAGTGAAACCTTGTGATGCTGGAAGAAACGGCATGTCTTTGCAAGACTGGAAATCCCACCTGGTCATCATAGCCAAGAGAACTTGATGCGTCTCCTTTTTCAGTTTCTTTTAAAAAGCTTCTCTATAAAGAGGCTTTATTATTTATTGATTTTTGGTATTGCTGCTGTGTTACAGCCCACTGCCCTCTCCTCATCACCTCCTCAATAACACCCCTCTTCTTCTCACTTCAGCCGCTATGGGCTCCATGTTTCGCAGTGAGGAGGTGTGCCTGGTGCAGCTCTTCCTTCAGTCGGGCTCGGCCTACAATTGTGTCAGCGAGCTGGGAGAATCGGGCCTGGTTGAGTTCAGAGATGTGAGTAATTGAAACGTTTACTTTAGTTGTTGGTTCATGGTCGTGTGGTGGAAAAAACTCTGATTCTAATTTGAATTGGTCAGCTGATGTGTGGTGATAATGTTTTTTATGTGCAACTATTTCTCTCACTTTAATGCATTAATGTTTTGATGTGTATGGCTGACATTATAAACTACAGATAATGATACATCTGTCTCTGACAACGGCCCTGAAGTTGATTTGTTCCAGCCTTACTGTGATTGTCTTTTATTTTGCACAGAACATGCCTCGTAAGTTACTTCCTAAAATGCTAAAATGCGTCAACGTTTGTTTTGGGTCTCTGTGAGCCATAACCACGTTGTTCCATCACTCTTATAATCATCAGATGAGCATGAATAACCCTGCTGTTCTCTTCCTACTTCCTCTCTTGTCACATTGTAGTTGAATCCCAGCGTGAACGCCTTTCAGAGGAAGTTTGTCGGGGAGGTTAGACGATGCGAGGAACTTGAAAAAACTTTTAGTAAGCAATGACTCATTTCTCCTACCTGTATTTGTATTTAGTTCTTTATTTTTCATTTTGATTAGATTTTCTTTTTGCCCTCTCTGACCTTCTTATCTCCCCTCAGCTTTCCTGGAGCAAGAGATCAATCGCTCCCTGTCTCCACCATTGAAGGTCCCCCTCCCTCCTCCATGCCCAACACCCATGGCCCCTCAGCCGCGTGAGCTCATCACCATAGAAGAAGAGTGCGAGCGCCTGGCCAGAGAGCTTAAAGAGGTGAGAGCTTAAGCCAATCAAGATTGATGTGTTGAATTAAAGAACAACATTTGTTGTCTCAATAGTACGCGATACAAAGAAGTTTTCCCTAGAGTGGAGACAGATGTGTGTGTGTGTCCGTAGGTGTCAAGGAACAGAGACAGCCTGCGAGCTCAGATGACCCAGCTCTGTCAATACAGAGGAGTTCTGACCAAAACACACTCTTTAACAGCCTCACAGGTGATTAAAAGATACATTTGTTAACAATTCCTGAATAAATATTCTCATATTCTTAAACAGTAGAGCTGTAGAGAGAGAACTGCAAATAAAAAAAAGTAATTTCCTACTTCTTCCTCACTCAGGCACCACCACCTGTACTGGAAAGCCAAGGCCTGTTCGATAATCGCCAAGATGTCCGCCTCAGGTAAAGCTCACTTCCCAGCATTTCCAGTATTTTTTTTGCTTCTATTTTACACATCTACTCTTTATCTACTGGCTCTCAGTTTTGTGGCAGGAGTGGTCCATCCTTGGAAGGTCCCCTCGTTTGAACGGTTATTATGGCGGGCGTGTCGTGGTTATATCATTGTGGATTTCAGAGAAATGGGGGATCGACTTGAGCATCCGGACACGGTAGTAACTGAGAGACAGACAGATATTATTGTTATTTCTTTTACAGTCATAGTCTCTGATAATTTGTCACATGAAATTATTATTATTATTTTTTTTTTGTGTGTGTTTTCAGTACATTTGTTTGTTTCTTCCTTTGCAGGGGGAAATGGTGCAGTGGACAGTTTTCCTCATTTCCTTTTGGGGAGATCAAATTGGACAGAAAGTAAAGAAGATTTGTGATTGGTGGGTAATCAGTTTAACTTTTTTATTTTAATCGTACATTTCCGTACTGTGGCATTTATTGGACTTGTTGAATATCTTTTTGTATCCCTTTGTCACAGCTTCCGCACACAGACATTTATCTACCCTGAGAACCCTGCTGACAGAGAGAAGATTCTTCAGGGGCTTGAAGGCAGAATTGAAGATATCAGATCAGTAAGTGTAACTGTAAATTCTTCATAGTGTAAAAATAGTTTCTAAATGAAACACATAGCCTGTGCTTTAATCTCACTTCCTTGTTCCTTAGGTGTTGTCACAGACTGAAACCTTCCTGCAGCAGCTGCTGATGCGGGCGGTGGCCGTGCTGCCTCAGTGGAAGGTGCGAGTGCAGAAATGTAAAGCTGTTCAGATGGTGCTGAATCTCTGCAGCCCCTCAGTCACTGACAAATGCCTGATCGCTGAGGCCTGGTGTCCCACTTCCAAGCTGCCTGAACTGCAAAGTGCTCTAAGAGAAGGAGGGGTAGGACAGAATCCGAGATGTAGATGTAAAATAACTTAAGTAAGTTCACCGCCTCATTTTCACTTCAACCTTCTCCATCCTCAGAGGAAGAGTGGCAGTGGGGTGGACTCTTTCTACAATCGTCTACCGACCTCCACCCCTCCACCCACCCTGTTTCCTCTGAACTCTTTCACAGCCGGTTTCCAAAACATTGTGGATGCTTATGGAGTAGCCAGCTACCGTGAAGTCAATCCAGGTACTTTGGCACTCCACTTAAAGAGTTTTTTCAGCTCTTAAAGAAAAATAACACGTTCAGGCTTTCCTTTTGTCTTTTCAAACAAGGTTTTGTCTCTCATTCTTTTTGCAGCCGTGTACACCATAATTACGTTCCCTTTCCTGTTTGCGGTGATGTTCGGGGATGTGGGTCATGGTTTACTGATGACTCTGGCTGCCCTCTGGATGGTCCTCGAGGAGAGGGACCCCAAACTGAAGAACAACACTAATGAGGTAATTGAAAGGGTAGATATTTTAAGTTGGTAGTTAACATGTTTCACTTTTGTAAGTATGTACTCATGCACTTACAGGAACACTGTGGAGGATGTGGTTTGGTGCCCTCTGGTGCCTAAGATGTGTTAGTAACAAAAAACTAGAAGGATTACCTTGAATATGGCAAGCCGTTCAGGAAATTAATATATTGAATGAAACTTTGAATATATTGAATGGAAGTCCGTAGTGTTATTTCAGCTTCCATCTCAGTAAGAGACTAAAAAAATCCTGGAAGATGGATGCACAAAGTGCGCTCAGCAATGTTTTGTTGAGCATTACTACTCATAAGCAGTAAAAGTGTTCCAATAATTGAACTATGATCTTCAAGGTTAAGCTTTCTACATTCCAAATTATTCATATGATTTTGAGTACGACCAGCAACTTTTCAAAAAAGTTTTGATGTTCAAGAAAGTATTGGTATATTTCAGC